GGGTAAAACATGCACCTCAATAATTCCTTTCCTAGGTGCGTGAATAGCTAAACACAAGCAGTAATCACTCTTCATTGGTTCATGATGCGCAGAACTTGATGATGCAAAATCTTTATTGACCAGCATCTCCATGAATAAGCAGCTGGCATCTCGATATCCCTGCAATAATATCAGAACTCAAATAGGGAAGTGGGGGCTAAAAAGTTACCTAGTCTGTTCTTTTATCTCGTTGTTGTGGGGAAGACGGAGTATAAAGGTCAAGAGAGAAATTAACAAACCTTCCATAAGCGAACCACAACAAGAGCTTGAGTATCTAGCAGCAGGATACGACCAAGTGAATCCGTTATAGCAGCTAATGTACCACTGGGTGATAAGGTAAGCTTCTCGCCCTTTCTAGGGTGATCCTTCAAACAGGTCAGAAGTGCAGCTGCATTGAATCATGAAGACAAGTCATGCAACCGAGTTTGGGTTAGCTCCACATTTTAGTTTAATGGTTTCTGAGTCCAATTCAAGCACCTCATCCCAAGCTGTTAGGTGAAAATCGAAAATTGATTTTATGAACAAATAGACATAAAGAAACCTCGTAAGTTCTCAATTTACTTCTACTGGTCCTTTTTCTTCTCACTAGATGTTGAATTGGAGGTTATGGCCTCATTATTTCGATTGTATTAAGATGATCCAACTTGGCAAAATACTTTACCTTATATGCACAGATATCTCAGGGAACATATGTGCTTACAACTACAAAAGCAAGAATTAAAGTGTGTTACTCCTACCTTGGGCAAATGGTTGAGTGACTTGAGTCTTCTGATCCTGTTTCTTTGGAGATGACCGTTCACTCAGCCAAATCAATTTAGAAAAAGAAGTAATTGTTGAAACTGTCACAGGTACAACTTTAGACAAGATAGCTCCGACTATAGACCTGCTTTTGTCTTCAGAAAGTCTTCAATGATGGAAAAAAATAGTCAATACAATAAAACTATCGAACAACAGAGTTTCAGAGAGCAGCAGAGCACATATCAATGAAGAAGTAGTGTGATTTATATACATAATCCACTAAGTACCTGAATGCTGAAATCACAGCATCTTCTCCAACAGCCACTGCACAATAATAACGCTGACTTGACTGCCCAACAATAAAAGCAGCTGAATTCAAATACCAGAAATAACTTCAGAAAGTCTCCATTATCTAGGGAAAAAGAACTACAGCCATCACCATGAAAAATAATTATGATAAGATATTCAGTCATTCAGACAATGAGAAAAAAGAAGACATAATAATATAGGCTCAAAGACCGTAAACAAGTTTGACGTCATTCCTGATTTCCTGGGTCCAGATAAATTAAGATCTTCAAAGCAAACAGGAAATGAAAAACCAATTAGTGCATATGCACTAGAAGTTTTAAAAGAGAAGTGACTTTCTGAACTTCACATGTTAAAACTCAAAAATTGATATTACAGCATTTGATGAAATGTATAAACAAAATTAATGATGTCACTTGGGGTTAACTCAAGTGGTAAGGGGAGGAGGAGGGTGTGGGTAATGATCAAAGTTAAAATCTTACAGATGAAGCAAATAAAGGGAGGCAAACAATGTCATTAGCAAGGCAAACAAGAAAAAATACGACATTACAAGAGTTTTTACCTGAGGTTCCATCAATGGTGGAGGCATTATTCCAGTAATTGCAGCATCAACACAATTACCATACTTGCCAACATTCCACAATTGATAATGTAATTTTTCATGAGAGCTTCCAAGATCCTCTAGATCTTGCCCTCTTGGCGTTTGACCCCAATAATGAGCTTGTGTTTCTTCAAACCATTTCTGCAGCATATTCTACATTTCAGGCACATATAGCCAACTATCAGATTCATGATGAGCTACTGAAACCCACAATTTAGAATATTGGACAACAAAATAACAAGATAATTGTTCGTGTTGTCAGATTAGAACAAATTGAACTATCCATACTATATTACTTAATCAAGCATGACAAGTTTTAGATCAAAACTTAAAGACTGTATTTCAGCAACTCCATTTGTGTAGACAAAGAAATTGATCGTTACCTGAAAACCAGAGACATCAAAACGGGCAATCACGCCAGGCATAACAACACAAAACTCTTCTGAGGAAGTATCTTGACTAAAGTCTCTCTTTGATCCACGAACTCTTAACTTTATAATTTGTCCACGATAAACCATCTGTGGGTATGAATCTGACGTTAGACTAACAGACAGAAAACAAACAGAATTCCAGGTATACTTTGACATAGATTATCCTTCCTATTGTGGTTTTAAATTTATAAACAAATCTTTATAATAACAATCGGAGGTTCTTATCATCAATTTTATGACTAATTTTTTGTCTTTTTAGGTTTACAATTAAGTCTATATCCTCTGACGTAAATGGTTGTTCCTGGATTTTTATTTTTATTTTTTTTAAGAGACACACTGAAGGAAATACAATATCACCAGGCTAATAGAAATTAAAACATTTTTCTGAAAAACAAAATTCGTTTCCCGGAACATGAATCATGATCCAAAAAGGCAAGGTTTTCAAATGTTTCTGCTGCTTTTAAAAACTTGAACAAAACAGGAAACTTAAGTTTTTACTCAAGGGAGATCATTTCACCCACGACTAACAGCAGTTGAACACTTTACTTCAACACCACACCGACCCTAAGTTATCCGTCTTGGATATTAGAATATGCTCTCTCAATAGTAAAAGCCACGTATCAATTTCACTTGAGAACCAAGTTTCCCATTTCCTTTTCGAATCCCCAGATTTCAGTAAAAAAAAAAAAAAAAACTGGGTGAAGAGCCAATGCATTACCTGTTTATGAATCAAATCGCCCTGCAACGAATAAATCAGCAAATACCCGCAAGAGGTCCCAGCCACAATCACTCGAATTTCATCGAACACTAACCACTCAATGGCGGAGATACGCTCGGCCTCGATCGGCGATAGTTCAGGACGTATCTTGAGGCGGGAGCCATCGGAATCAGACCAACCAAGGACAAGGATGGTGGATCGGTTGGCAAGCGCGAGAGAATGGGTATCGATGGCACAGAGAAGATTGGGATTATCAACGAGCCAGGCCTCTTTGCCAGCGCCAAGTTCAGTGAGCTCCTGACAGGCTATGCAGCCCAACTCGGTCTTATAGGATCGCCTCGCCATTGCTGTGATCTAAGCCATTGATTGATCCGTTGGGTAAAGACAACGAGTGCCAGAAAATTGATCTCTCTCGCTAAATCTCACAGTATAGGAACCCAGTCCCCACAACCAGGGCAATATACGTTTTCTTTTGCTCGCATGAGTTGTTTCTTTGGAAAAATTACTGTAGCCAACAAGCATCTCAATCACTTTCAAAGTCTGAAATGTATGAGTTGTCACCAAGTCTAAAATACTGTACAATTATAATTTGATAAAAAATAATAATTTAATAAAAAAAATGACAATTTGATATAAACTCATAATCAAATTGCCATTTTCCTTTATCAAATTATAATTGCACAGAATTTAAAACTTCAGAGAATTTTGTGCAGTTTATGAGAGAAAATGATAGCTTGATATAAAGTTCCACATGAATTTTGATTTAATAATTGTACTTAGTACATACATTAAATATTTATATAATTTAAATTATTGAAATTTAAATTAATAGTTTTGAATTCACACTCTACTTAAAATTAATAGGTGAGTAAATTTATTTGAATTATTAATTTAAATTTTAACAATTTCAATAACATAATTGCACAATATACTCATTAAATTCAAATCCATTTCATTAGACTATTTAAAAATTAAAATTCTTGCAACAAGAGACCTTGGAATGATTTTCCCTTCTTTTTTTGTTTCCCCTTGTCACGTGAGTCACGTGGTGATATTTTTTAATAAATAGCATTAATAGTTAATAATTCATGCTACTTTTAGAAACTCTGGTCCTATAAATGAAGCATGCAATATTTCATGTTTTTATTTTATTTTATTAAGACATACGTTCAATTCTTTAATTTTACATAATATTTTTATTTTAGTTTCTTAATTATATAAAATACTTTTTTAATTCTTTAACTTTAATATTATTAGTTTTATCCCAACATATTTTTACATTAAATTTTTAAATATTAACAAAATATTCTTGTTGACATATTAAGTTTAATTTTTTTAAAATAACAATGATTAACATAAAAAATAATCATTTAAAACTAATGATATTAGAATTAAAAGATTAAAAATATATTTTATAAAATTAAATATCTAAATTAAAATTTTATATAAAATTAAAAATACTAAAAATATACTTTAATCTTTTTTTTGTTTTTTTGGGACCTGTAATGTTCCATGTTAAGATCTTATATATTCATATGTTTTAGGCTAATAGGTATTTTGGCCATTTCATTATCCTCTATTTTCCTTATTATATTCATTCAAAAACCCATATCTTGATTCTTTTCTGTCATTTGAAAATAATTTGAGAAAATTACAGTTAGATTTCACACAAGAAACCAATTATCAATGCAGTTTAGTTCAATTATCAATGAATCTCACAGTAATTAATTTCCTCGTGTGTAACTTTAACATCATTCTCCCATATAATTTTACACATCATTATTCTAATCATTATCATCTTCATTCTTCTTTTAATTCTCTTAAAAATCTTATTATCCTTTCAAGTTTCAACAAACGCAAGAGCTTACTTCAGAACGGCTGCTTACAAGAAATGTACAATTATTCAATCCTAAGCAGTAACTCATAACTGGCCAATCTAAAAATATAGTAGAAATGCATTGCATTAATCGTCACTAATACGATGACAAATCCATTTACATTCATGCAGCTAGTAGAGAAGAGCAAAGTTGACTAAAGATAACCCCTTCCAGTCTGCTATGTAAATTCAAAACTAGACTGGACCTTCATGCCATTCGTGTACCAGATTAGATACTTATGCGTCAAAGAATTCTTCAGGGACATAAAATTTCAAACCAATAGCCTGCAAGCACCAAATCGATAACTTCAGGTAAGTGGGTAACAAACATGCAAAAGATCGATCGAGCCTGCGCGCACTGAACATCATTCTCATCGTTACTCAATCCAGCCTGCTTTCCAATTATCAGAAGCTATCTAAATCTAACAATGAAAAGTTTTGAGAATAACTAGGATTCTCTGTAGATGTTGTTAACTGGAGTCTGAAGGCAAAAGCACCCAACTTCATAAAGTGAATAAGTAGCTTAAGAAAATAATATCCTCAAATGGCTGAAGCAGACAGATATATGCGTTCTTGTTGCTATTCATAAACCATAACTTATGTACTATTGATGAAAACTGATTACTTTAGTAAACTGGCAGATTCAAGAAGATTAGCAGTCAGGAAATAACAATAATATCCGAAGAAAAGAAATATGTAATCGTCGATGAAATTGAAGCATGATCGTAATTCCGATATTAGAAACGAATACACTACCTCCGCAAATTTAATATCAGCATCACTGTGATCATCTTTTCTCCCAGCTGCATCACCAACATAGAAGGATCTGTAACACACAAAATAACATTGCTTAAATGACCATCTGTTCATGGGTAAAATGTCATGACTTTTTAACAAAATTTATAATAGAGGAACACTAGAGACTAGTTAAGCAATTGAATAAAAGGATGATATAACTGATCCATATCTATTGGAATGCCAGAGTTGAAGTGTTGCTCCATAAGGTGCCACATTCCTGGTTGGGGTTTGCGAAATGGATCATCTTCTTTGTTGACAGCTTTGCCTGATTTACCAAGTCCACAAGCTATGAAAACCTGCACATGAAGGGAACTTGCTCAGCAGAGAAAAACAACGTGCATTAACATGTGAAACCAACAAGCCATAATTGAGTTGTTGATAACAATACAAAACAAATGTTCTGTATGAACAAAGATTACCTGAATTGGGACCTTCACTTTCGTGATAAAATTATTTAGACGGCCAGCTTTTGAGTCCACAGCCGCCTGTCTCTTGTTCTTCCAACGTTCAATATTGGATTCATTTGTAAAAATGACCTGTAGAGGGCAGCAATATGAAGAATATAGACTACCATAATTTTCATGCTGGCATTCTACTAGCAGGCGAAATATTTAGATGAGAAAGAATTGAGTTAAAAAACAGCCACATTCGATAATATGATTAGCACCATATAGCAGATATAATGTGACATACCAGTTTATAACCATCACTGTATAGGCTTTGTAGTTTATCAGGAATTGAAGAATACATGAGGGACCAAGCATCTGCACCTGATCTGAAAGAAAGGAATAACATAAAGGTCCTGATCAATCTGATATTCATGAAGTCTAAGAAAATGGATATAACAATTAAAATTACAGAGGATGGGATAATTTCCATATAAGTTATTCTATCCAAAAACTAAGTCTCTGACCAAGATCATCAACAACTTCAAGCACTGATGCAGACGTACATATTCACAGCAGTTTTTGCAAGGCATCCATCAAAATCAAATGCAGCAATCTTGCTTGAAGCATGAAGACCATCATCCTGCATGTTACATGAGTTACGTAAATTAGAATTTTCTTTCAACAAAATATTGTGCATCTGTGTCTGTTCCTTTCACTTTTAATCAAATAATTTGCACCCAACCTCGACTCCCTTTTAGTCCAATTAAACTATGTAGAAAAACCAGGATTAAAATCTCACCTGTTCAAGAAATATGACACTCTTGAATGCCTTCCATTTTGGTGAAAGGATAGCATCCTGGATTAGTCAATTTTTTTTTGAATGTAAAAAGGTAAGAAATAAGATTTATTTGGCTCCATGAAGCTGACAGAAATAAATGTGTAACAGCGTGATAAACTTTCACAATCAAAATCATCAGGTTAAAAAACAAAGACTACCAAAGGACATATTGCACCTTGTACTTGTTCTTGACATCAGAAGCAGAAAAGTCAATGACTACCTGATTTAGGAAAGGCAAATTAAAGAACAAACATGAGTTTTAGAAATCAATAATCGAGGAGTAACTGCTTTACATGTGTATAGGCCTACAGCACTATTTATGGTCAACTGAAGCAAAATAAATAAATAACAACTATTCATTCTTATCCTTCACCTCCTAGCTTTGATATCAGTAATACGTAGTCATAGCTGCAGGCAAGTGGGTGATTAAAAAACATCTATAATAATAGGAATAAACAATTATAAAGGAATAAGGAACATAGAGAAATAATAATAAAATTTAAAGAAACATAATTCACAATTCATTCAACAAAGAAATGATACATCAGCAAAGAACCCAAATTCACTCTTCATTGCTAATGTCTCCACAGCTTAGAGCTTTGATAAGCACTTTTACAAGACAATCAAGATGATTTCATCCAAACACATTCCTTCTTCAAATCCTCAATTTAAATGTTTCTCATAGTTTCCGCATGTAAGAGATCTGGAAGAACGGAGTCAGGGGTGAAGGACAAGTATATGCGTTTAATATTAAAACAACCTTACAATCAGGAAAGAGAAAGCCACCTCAAAGATACGCCGTAACTTTTTTCCTGGGGGTGGTGGGGGATGTAAAAAGATTTATTGAGCCTTGACCCTTGTTCAAATGCATATGCTTACCTTTCTTTTTTTTGTAACACTTTCTTGTACTTCATTTTGTATGTCTTCTGTTGTTTCATGAACCTTAAATGAGCAGAACAACATACAACCAGATGAAAGAGATTAAAATAAAATTTGACAATACACAGAAGCGGTAAGATAAACCTTGTAAATGCACAATTTACCTTTCAGCCTCCTTTTTTAATCAGAATTAATTAATTTGCCTACCTTTGTACTCTTTGAATCACTTTCTTGTAGTTTGTCTTGTACGCCTTCGCTTGCCTTGCAAACCTGTCAACAAGTAATGAGTGGTGTATTACACGACCAGAAGGAACAAGGTCAAATATTTGGGAAGATACAGTACGGTTATTCGTTTGACCCTATCTCTGCAGAGCTCTATATTAGAAAATTGAACCAACGAGACGTGTAACTGATTATGCAAATATATCCTACTGCCTGTCAAGTCCGATACTTCAACCAGGCCTTACTGCCCTGAAAAAGAATCGATAAGTTTGCACAAAAGATAAGTTTCCTCACCTCTTGAGACTTGTCATGTCTAGCCAAAAACTTCTTGATGTCATCCCTGTCACTACTCTGAAATGATAAAAGATGACAACATTCAGCTGAAAATAAATTGATAGGATAAAGACAATAGTGTCCCCTGCTCATAAAAACAAAAATTTTATCCCTCGGCAAACTCTTCATTCCTCAATGTTTCCAAATGAGAAAAACCATCAAAATTATATATGTATGTATGTATGTATGTATGTATGTATGTATAAACCAAACCTCCAGCGACGAAAACCCCTCAATGGACATAGGCGAGGCAAGTGCAGTCGAATCAAAAGGGAAGCAATCAAGGTGATGCCATTTGACTAAGTCGTACCCCCGATTGTCTTTGGTCACCAGAGCCAACCTCAGTGATTTGGCATCAATCTTTTGGGAGCACTTCTTGCATGTCGACCGATTCGACTTGGCATACTCCGCCGAGATTTTAATCGAGGATGAAGAAGACGGAGGAGCCATAAGAGGAGGGTTTTCGAAAGAGGAACAAAAGAAACGAGTTGAACTCAGAAAGGAACGAATACGAAAGGAATTGGAGACAATGCAGGGTAGACTAGTGTTACCGATGACGAAAAATCTGGGAATGGTGAGCATGTGGAATTAGAGAGAGAGATGCAAATTTCGCGCCATTTCTCGCGAACGAAAGAGGGTATCACTTGGAGTAGGAACAGTAACACTCGAGTCTCGAGTCTTGACGCTCTGTATTCGGAGAATCACACCGAATATTCTCTCACTGTCCTTTTTTCCCCCCTTGTAAATTCTCTCAGCATTTTTATTTGCATAGAGACTTATTCTTAAAAATATTAATATTAATGTAAAATAAAATAATTAATTAAATAGTAATTTAAGTCCTAAACTATAAGCTCAACTTGAACTAGTCTTTTAAGCTCCGAACAATTGAACAGGCAACAATTTGGCCTTGTGGTTAACTTCAATTAAACCTCCGTGAATTGTGGGTCCAGGAATTGAGAAGACCACGCCAAGCAGGCGTCGAAGCAGAAGAACGACATGGAGCCGCTCTGCTCCCAAGGCTTCGGCGCCGAAGTACCACTGGACTAACCACGATCGAGCAGAGGAAGGGGCTTGGCCATAGTGATCTTGGAAGGATAAGAAAAACATTTTTGAAAAAAGCTACCTCAACTTAAAACCTGCCGATGTGCTGTAAAAGAATATATAATGAAATTAGAATTTTACCATAAAGAGGAAATGAGGCGAAAATGTTGGAAAACAATACTGCAATTTTTCTTATAATCTAAACCTAGAGGGGACAAAAACAAGATGGATTAAATGCACAGGAAAGAAGATACTGTTGATTTATAAAATTAGTTCTGATCCCCACATTGTAGAAAAAATTAGCATTACCCATGAATATGAAAATGAAACAAACAAGAATATAGCTTTCATTTAGATGAGTTGTTGCCATCACTTGCGTTTGACAAACGATTGTCTTTTCTCTTTCTTCCTTTCTTCCCATACGAAACCCTGAACCGCCAATGTTTTATCGTTGAACTCGCAAGGCGGAGGCTTCTCTACTAAACAAGTATTAGACAACGCCCAAGTGTTGAACGTGCATAAAGTTAACTTATGACGTGGTTCCCACTTAATTTTCATGCTTCTGCCTGCCAGCTGCAAATTCTGTCTCAAATACACTAAATTTTCTCGACATCATCATAATGACTAATGAGTGTCATAGATGCATCCAGTTATCTGTGGTTTTACGCTAAAACGAATCAAATATCACATGCTCATTCTCCACTAGCTTTTCACTGTACTTGCTGCATAATTCATAGGCAGGCCTCCATTAATGTGGATCTTCCTTTTTTTTCGTTTTTCTTTTTGGATAAGAAAACCTGGAGGTAAACTCCATTTCATCAAATGGGAATATTAGTAAAACTCAGAATCACCAGATAGTTTAAATATCTGAACTTCGGAAGCTGCATAGGTTGGCCACAGCATGTGAACGGTGCTTGTGTTGACTATACTAATAAACTGTGAGGGTTGGCCACTAAGCTTAATTACTGAACATATATCTTTACTGATGATACAAAAACGACATTTACAAGAAGTTCTTCCAATCAAATTTTAGCAGAAAATTATGGGGGAAACAAAAACAAAAACAAAAATAACTACTCATTTCAACATTCACAGAATAATAAATAAGCAAATGAACTGAAATTATATTACTCACACGCCAGTTTAGTGCCAAAGCTTGTGAGGCAAATGGCAAAGGCCTGGAAGGCTGATAAAGGCTGCCTATAATCCATCGTGAAAGTATCATCCCCAACCTTCCCAAACTGGAGGAGAACTGTTTCCTCGTCTCCTTTCCCACCTGATTGGCTCTGATCCACGGTGGCAACCAGCTGAAAATTCTTCACTGATGCCACAGTCACACGGCCATGGAAATTCAAGCACCAGCACTGCAAATGCTCATGCCATCTTGGAGCTTTGTTCTTCAATATTGAGTGCCCCGGAGCAACACGTTCTTTACTGTTTATCTTATCGGTATCCAGATTTTTGTCATCTGAACTTTCTCCTGACAAAGGAACGGGGCACTTCATTGTGCAGGCCATCCTTCTCGGTCCCCTTGATTTCAGAATGTTGAACTTATATGAGACCTGTCCCACCTCAAAGTTACCTGCAGGAACTTGTGGGCTTATCTGCTTGCTGGTAAATCTACGGCTCGCCCTGCTGCTTGATGGCTTTGCACCATTATGAGGCGGTTGGCTGTCATAGATTGTGAAGTTGGTACCAAGAAAGTCCGAGCTGCGAAAAAATTTCACCAATTAAGTGTTAATACAGGGAGCAACTTTTGGCTACAAATTCACATTATAATCTAGAAGAGAATCAGAGTTTAAGATCTTCAATTAGATACAAAGAATGCAAGGACATGCTTTTCTGCTGCTACAAGTAAAAACTTCCCATCTATAGATGAAATGCAAGAGCAAAAACACTTCAGTTAAATGATATTTTACAAAAATCTGTGGTTGATGGTGAAGAGAGCTAGACCTCACTCAATCATAAACCAGCCATCAACATAGACAAAAAGAGACCATTCTCCCATTCCATTTGTAAAAGGTTTTTCTTCTTGAATCCTTCAAGGAGTAAGAATGGTTTACCTTAACTTTCCAACATAAGCATTGCTTCCCTGGGAAAAGTCATCAGCATCAAGTGATATGATATATTCAGTATTAGCACCACGCCTATATCTCCTAGCTGCTAAAAGAAACTTTCCTTTATCTGTGAAAGCTGGAAAAGAGGAAAAAAGTGAAACAAAATTTTCAAATCAATTGCATGAGAGAGAGTGCAAAATCAGAAGCATTATTTGGAAAACAACCATTACTAGAAGCATTATTGCTAAAAGTTTGCATAGCTGGACTTCTAAAGCAGTATTTCATTTCAAAGCAGACAACCCCATGGACTACTCCAAAGACTGGTCCATTAGAGTATAGGCAAAATCAATGGTAAAAGGCACAACATACAGCTAACCAATTGGTCCTCTTTTCCATAGCATCCATAACTAGATGCCTTCTTTCCATTGGTCTACTAAGACAATGTTAAATACGGTTAAAACATTTAAACCCAAGACTCTAAGTTACGAAATAAAAAGTTGTGTCAAACTGCAGATGATAAGACTCGTTTAAATTTCTTCTTTCAACAGATAAGATAATGCAAGAGTCAGAACAATGGTGGTGGTGGAAGATTCCTAGTGCTTCTCTGTGGGGTTTACCTCTAGCCGTTTTTCTTATTTTTAAAGGAGTTAAGGTGAACCGAAATTGAACCACAACAGATGAATTTATTAGATAAATAAAGTTCTATAAGTTGACTGGAGCAGGTCAACTTAGACTACGTCTAGTCAATTGGGGGGTAGATTAATGCCGTCTGGAAACACTTTATACCTGCATCATAATTCTGTAAATATGAAAGTCAAATTTAAATTCAGGCGAAGTAGCACAAAAGAGAAGAATATCCGGTCAAAATCAAATGCCTTAATTCGTAAATTTGAAAAATAAGATGAAGCTTCCAGATTTTACATAAAACCGTTAAAAGACTTTATTCAGTCAACTTACGACAGAGCACACAGGACAACTCAACTCCAGCCATAAGTCATTTTCAACCATCCAAATGTCAATTGTCCAGCAAAATGTTTTATACCAATACTTACTTACATGGTGTAAGGGCAAGACATAGGTAAAATGTTGAAGTCTTCTTGTTTCGCTTTATAAGACAGTGGTGGGGTGGATCACGTGGTCCTGGCTGCAAGTCACAGGAATGTAACAAGATTGTCAGCTCCAAGCCTCATAAGTTTAACAGTTACTAGACGAACAAAAGATAGGCATTCAAATAAATGCTTGAAATAATGAAATAACAAACCAAAATCAAAATGCACCAATGAATTGCTATCCTTTGTCAAAAAGAGCATGGGAAACTGACTGAAGAGATCAAATAACATACTTATTACTTCACCAAGGCAACGATAACATAGCTTTCTCCTGCTAAATGAGTGAACTTACTCCGCCAAAACTACATAATACACAATATGCTAGTGTGAAAACATGAATAGTCACATTCAAAAAATTCCTTCCTAAAATCCACCAGAAAGGATCACCATCGGCCATTCCTCCATCTTTCCTCCTTCACATTAACATTTGACAGACTAAATAAAGAGAAGTGGAAATCTTTCCATGGTGCCAACCATCCGTACCATTAATCTTAGCCTCATGACTACAATTTGATATATTTTGGAGATAAACTTGTGCAGGTTCACAAGCTGCACGAGGTTACCAATCTGAATGAAAGTCAACATCAAGCACCAATTATAGTCAACTTTTACGCGCAGACTCAGAATCACCACTGATCCTCACAACAAATATAATTCACCAATTAAACCAATCACTTCCCCAATTCACCAATTCACCAAGCATGAATTGAATTTCCTCACTATTGAAGCTAAAAGATTGATGAGTGGTCGAATGGTAGGTATCCCAAAGTTCTCAGAAACTTGAGCAAGCCCCAGAGTACCACCACCGCTCGAAGTGACAAAGCATTATCCAAGGCTCAAAACAAACCCAAGTTACAAAGTACAAACCGTCACACGCTCGCGAACAAAAATTTGAAGAAAAAAATAAAGCCAATCCTGAAAACCCTCCCCAGAAAAAGAAAATCATGCAACAAGTACCTGTTTAAGGCAAGAAGGGAAAGTAATTTTGCCGCTCTGAGAAGGGGACCGTACGATCTCACGAGTCATCTCCCTCCACCTCTTGCAGACGCATGCACAAGCGACAACGTTTCGGCGGGGAGGCCACCGCTCGTCGCTGACCTCCACCCGCCGTATGATCTCGCCGAGAAGCTCCGGCAGCATGGTGGACCACGCATTGCCGTACGCCACGTCCTCCCCGGCCTCGGCCCCAACGATCCCGTTCCGACGGTCGTCCTCATCCAAAGCCCCAGTTCCCCTAAAGGATCTGGAGAACTTACGAGAACGGAAAACTCTGACAAGAGACATTGGAAGGGGGAAAGAGGGGGTATGGTGTACAGGCTCGTGAGAGAGAAAAGGAGAGACTTCGGTGAAAGGGGAGGAAGAAGTGGAATGGGGATGGTGATAGAGTGACAGGTTGGTGAGGAAAATGATGAGATGTGTGATGGGTTTTGCCACGTATGTGAGAGAGAGAGAGAGAGAGAGAGTGTGTGTGTGTGAACGAAAAGGATGGCGACGGGGAAGGCAGACGACGGTGCGTGAGAAACTGAGAGTATAGCGAGCGCAGGTGGAGGTAATGGGATCTGCTGTAACGTATGTACACATGACCTGGTCTCCGCTCCTTGATAAAGTAGACAAAGCTCTTCTTTGATTGCGTGTTTCACTGTTTCGTTTCTCTTCTATTTTCTTCCTTTTTTATGTTTCAAGCTTCTTACTTTGCGGTTTATGGCTGTCATTTTGTATAATTATAAATTACTTCCAACTATTTTATTATATAAAATTAATAAGTAGGAATTGAATTATTAATTTTAGTTGAAAAAAATTTCAATCTATTCTTATCAGTACATGAATATTATCTTCCAAAAAAAAATTCTTAAAACTTTTTATTCCCTACTTATAGAAAATTATGAAATGATACAATTTAAAAAAAAGTAATTAAAAATTTATATTTTTTATAAAATGAATTATACTTTTTTTCTCTAAAACATGACTTGTATACAGGATTAAAGAAAGTAATTACTGATTACCAATACCATCGTCATATTTGCTGTATTTCTTCAGCAATCTCAACTTTTGCGTCTGTTTGTATTTCTTTTTTATCATTGCTTACATCTATACCATGTTTGTGATCATAGTATAAAAAAATGGGTTAATCTGTCCAATTGAATTGATAAATCATTAAATCAACATCTTAATCAATTTAATAAAATATTTGGTTTTACAGGTTTAATCATGATTTAACTATAACTTTGATTATACCATTAATCCTTGAACTATTACCTTAATTAATTTAATGACAGCTTCAGTTTTCAACATCTTGTCCAAAACTGTGATTTTACAAATTCCTTCATATGTATTTTTGTAAATCTATGGTACAAGTTCTCTCACGAAGATAGTTTTTTGGCTGTGGCTGGGGCTGGGTCCAGGGACGGATCTGGAGGTGCTACCCCCACCCCGCCCAAAAAAAAAAAGGCACAAATTTTTAAATCAATTTTCTTGATTTTTACTTGGAGAAAAATAGGAAACCACTTTTATGAATTTTTTGATTTTATCCCTCCATGTGTCATGTGCTGGATCTGTCACTAGTTGGGCCACGGTCCATTGCGTCTGGCTTTCGTGGGTTGGCTTTGGCGGGGGTGCACTTTCATGAGGCGAATCAAGCCAGGTAGGGAAGGGTCTTTTTTTTTTTAATACAAGAAGACAGACAAAGCTGTGCAAGAATTATAAAAATCAGGTCAAATCAGAATTCAGGATAAACATGCAAATTATAGACGGTTCATTATAAATAATGAAATCATGATTTTTATGGAAGGTTTCGCATGTGGGTAGATAACGCATTTGTTTACTTCTTTAAAGTTATGATCAAGTTCAACTAAAGTTATAATCAAATCCAACTGTCCAATCTTTTATAATAAGTTTTTTTATTTTTTTAATGTTTGATACTAAAGAATGACTATCAAGATAGTTATGTTGAAGTTAAAAAAGTATCTTTAAAATTATAAAGACAATTAACAAATCCTGTTGGACTTAACTTCTTGTCTCTATTGATTATGTTGTTTTCGTTTTTTATTGATTTGATCAAGACAAGAACAATCATTCAATTGATGAATCTTACAGTGTAAAGGATAATTTTAAAGTTTTTATTTTTCATCAATTTTAATTGCAAAAAAAAAACTTTATAGTTCATACATATATGACCCGATCTAACTTGATTTTGATTAGGCAGAACTCAATATATTTTTCAAAAATAAATTGGCATTATAAAATCGCTTGAATTTTTTGCAGTTGGATATTTACTTTTGGACCCAGTTATTGACTTATTGTTGGCGCGTGTCAAATAAGTAATTATATGCAATGAAACTGTGAAGAAATATTGAAATGATTCAAATATCAAACAAAAGAATTGGATGGGTAAAAGTTGAAGAGTGGGTCAATTTATAACTTGTAATAGAAGGTGGTGAAAAGTATAGTGTTTACTGTTTAGGTTAGGCATGGCACGTTATAACCCACCAAACCTATCAACCCCCATGAAATGGTCCCTGCCTAATGAAATCACCACACATCATAATTTTTAAGAAAAATCACACTACAGGTCTTAAAATAATAAAATATTTCACTTTTGACTCAATACATTTTGATATTACATTATAAGCTCAAAGGTTCTTATTGTAATTTTTATTAAGGGCAAAAGTACAAATTTGCCCTTGTATGATTTGAAACTCAAATCATATCCAACACAATGTCTATGGATATACAATGTGATGTTTATTAATTCTCAACACAATATTCATACATGTCCAATTAACCTATGGATTAATTAAAATAAAGTCACGTAGAGCATGCATAACACAATATTTATAGATGAACAACACGATATTTATGAACATTTGTTGAAAATATATAAATATTGTATTGTGTATTCATAAATATTATATTGTATATTGTTTGTGTCATTTGTGCATTTTATTAAATATATTGATCAATTATATATATATAGATATTGTGTTAAGAATATATTAAGCTTGCAGTGCAATTTTTGCTCTTTTGAAGCCTGTAGTGTAATTCTCCCTAATTTTAAACTTCTCAAGTTTTTTCTTAGTCGCCCAGCTAGGATTTAATAATAGAACTGAGATTAAAAAAACATATATATTACAAATATTTTCATAAACTTTAAAGGTTGAAAAGACGCAATATCCATATAATATTAAAAAAAATTAAGAAAATGTGTAGCCCTCTCCGTCGGCCTCAATGGCTTTTCGGTGTTTAAATTTATTTTTCAGTTTCAAAGCTTTGTTTCATAGTACTACCTCAAAAGCATAAATATCAATAATTTATTCCTCTCTCATATCAACGTACAGGGGTTGCATCGGTTGCCCAAAGGATAAAGTGAAGGGCATCATCATCAGCGGTTGCCTGGGGGGGGAAAAGAAAACATTGTTCTTTTCTTGATCCGCCAATCCCACTTTTTTTTTTTTGGGTATATTTTAACTTCTTTTATAAAAAAACGTGATAATTATTTTTAGAGCCTCCTATCTTGAGCCAATTTATTTAAGATTAAAAAATAAATATTTTTTAAGATAGTCAAAAAATTTTATTAAAAAATATTTATTTTGTGGAAATTTCATAAAAATCTATTTTATGTTTGGTTAGAAATAATAAAAAAGTGATTATTAATTATTTATTGTTAAATTTTTATTTATTTTTATTTTATAAAAATTACTTATTATTTAATTATTTTAAATTTTATGATATATTCGTATATCCTTTCAAATATATTCTCTCTTATCTATTGCATTAAGATTATTTTAAAAAATATTATAAATAAATTCTTAAATAGTTAGAAATTTATTTTTTTAATCCTGATTATTTTCAAAAGTACTTACAAAGTAAATTTTTTAAAAAATAAGTTGAAACAAACAGGCCATTTATTTGTTTTCCAATTTTGCTCCAGAGATATGTTTCTCTAGGTCTGTCACTGTATAATATACCATCCACAACACACTTTTAATTAAATTAAACTTTGAATAAATTATTTAATTATGTTTAAAATTATATTCTATGTAATAAAATATTTCAATTTAAGGAAAAATATTGATCATTCCTCAGTTCTAGATACTTTTGAAAAAATCTCGCTAATTGAATATTGAAAAACCTAGAACAACTTATATTTTTTAAGGTCTTACATTATAAATAAGAATATATTTTTAATATACATAATAAAGGATGGATATTGTAGTTTTTAACAGAGTTTAACTTTTAAATGTGAATTTAGATATCTAAAATACTTTTGTAAAGAACTGTGAATTCATGAAAAAATATTTAAAAATTTTGGTCCAGAAGAATGAATAATGGGGAGAAGGGTTTAGATAGGCGGGATGGGAAAGAGGATGCGCGCATGCTTACGTGGGATGAGAAATTGGTCAACGGAACGACTATGCCGGCGACATGAAGCTTCCACGTCGGCGTGCAAAGTGTCACCGTGCATGCAGCATTACCCTCTCCTTGAGACACGTTAACCCCCGTCTCTCCTGAAATTACCTTAAAGCCCTAGCCTCACTCTCATTCCTTTTTTTTTTTTTCAAACCATGAAAATAAATTTGTGTGCGTTTGGTTTCAATTTATCAAAAATTTATTTAATAAAAATTAATTATTATAATAAAATTTATGTTTAAATATATTTTTTTAAAAATTTTTTTATACACTAAAAATTAGTTTATGAGAGTAAAATATGTTTTTGAATGTATAATTATAAAAAAAGACATTAAGTTATATTAATTTATAATTTTTATTATAAAAATATAATATATTTGACATATTTAAAATTAAAAATTTTAAATAATATAAATTTTGATTATAATGCTAAAAATTTAATATTTAATTATTTATATTTTTTAATTTATAATTTCAGAAAATGTGATAAAGATTTATAATTTTTATTATAAATTAATACTAAAAATTAATATGATTAATTATTTAATTTATAATGCTAAAAAATTAATACCTATTTATTATTATTAAAATAATAATTATATTTTTAATGAATTAACTATTTTTAAATAAAAGATGATAATGGTCAAATAATATCCTATTTTTTAAATTTATTTTTTAAAAATTTTAAATAATTATGTTGTAGAAATTCACTTTCAATTATTATTTGAATATAGTTTCAATGTGTAAAATATTTTAATCAAATAATTTTTAACTCAGTAAAATTTTATTTTATAAATGTGAAATAAAAGAAAATCAAACGGGCTCAAAATTTATGACGGCTAGGTAGATTTTTCTAATTATAATTCCGAGTCCAAAATTCTAGAATATTAAAAAATAGTGGCTATTTTTTAATTTTTGTTTATTCCATCAATTAAAAGTAATGATTTGTACTCAAATAATTTTTTATGTTTTAATCATTTACCAGAAATCATTTCCAAAACATATTCTAATTATTTAAATTACGAAGAAAATCTTATAAAAAGAATGGAACAAATATCTGGAACAGATGTTTTAATTGTTTAAAAATAGGCCGGACCTTACTTGTTTTTCAATACCTATCTTATATGATATCCAATAGGATAAAAATCATTTGATAATTAATAAACAATAAGTTACTTCCTCCATGCCTTCGTTATATCAAGAAACATAAGGAATCTCTTCAAACCCAAGAAAATATTTGAGAAAGCAAAGAAGGAAATCAACTCACTTGAAAAGTTATATTAAAAATATATCTATAATTCTCAAAACTGCAAACCCGATGTGCAAAATTTAATTAATTAATTTTTTTTTTCCACCGGTTTGATCAACTAAACTTGGGCAGACAAACCTGAAACAAATGGAAAACTCCCGGACGACAGACTCCTTTTGAAGACCACAAAATACATTTTGGGTAAAAAGAAGAAAGAAAAGGAGGAAAAAAGATGGCAAGTGCAGAAGACACAGGAGGAGGAGGAGGAGGAGGAGGAGGAAGAGGTAAGAAAAAAAAGGGAATGGAGCAGTTATCTGGAACGTCGCCGGTCGTAATTGATTCCCCAAGAGCGGATGCCGGAGAGCAGCTCTGCGGAGGCGATCAAGAAATCGACGGCTTGCTGTGGAGTGAGGAGACCCACCACGCTCTTGAGGGTTCTGAGCCGGAGATCGTCGGCCTTCCTTATGATGCTCCCCAGAGCTTCCATTTTCTCCTCCATCTCAGCCCCTTCTATCAGCTCACTCCCACTGTCTTGCCACTCCGATAGCTCCTCCGTTATCGCATTCTCTTCCTTCACCTGCAAGTCATTTCACTAGACATTTGAAACTCGAAACTTAACTCCAAATTCTACAACCCTGTCAACCATTTTGAACAACACAATATACAAGAAATGCGAATGCTTGGAGATGGAGAGATCGGACAAGACAGGAAAATTTACGGTGTCACACTGCAACTGGCTGACACGCCGGAACTGAGAGGGGGAGAGATCGCCGAGATCGCCAGTACGAACGCCGCGGAGGATATCGATGATGTGAGACTCGAAGAGGACAGAGGACTCAGTGTAGACGAGGTGGAAGGCGATGGTGGGGCGCCAGCCGGCGATCCAGTGGAGGGAGCGTTCGAGGGTGGTGGCCCATGGGGAGACCAGCATCTGGAGGGGGTCGTTCTGTGAGGCGACAGACTTGGCGCGATAGTAGTCGTCGTAGTGGGCCATGACCTTGTCGATGAGGATGAGGAGCTTGTGGTTTTCCTCCGCCGTGGCGGGGGGCCGTGTGACGGCGGACAGCTGGTGAAGGAGGTGCTGGAGGTGGTCGAACCAGGACTCGTAGAAGCCGGCGAAGCTGAAACCGCTCACCGGGGCTGTGTGGTTGACACACGCATGCATGGGGAGGCTCATCACGACGATCCGATTCCGACCACTAGGGAGGAGGGTGGCTCTGAGCGGTGATATGGGGCTGGGCGCTGTGATATAGCGTCCTTGAGGAGATTCCAGCGGATGGCACGTGTGCACCTTGCGTGGAAGTGTGAGGTTCCACTTTATTACTATGTTGTTTCATGCGATGGACCGGTTTTTTTTTTTTTTGGGTAGGATTCAATGGGCCATTTTATTCACCGTAAACGTGAAAGAGGACACGCTTTAATAGCTTATGAAGTCAATCTGATTCTGAGACACTTTATCAGTTGAAATATTGACTGGCGAATGGGCCTCCCAATTTGGTTTACACTCCACATTGATATGAGAAGTCTCGAACACCTTTCTTGTGTTGTGTAGACTAGGACATGGGGAAAAAGTGAATAGCTTTTTACTGAGAGCCATGAATTTTTATACAGAGGCCCTGAACAAGGTATTATGAGTAATTCTCATATTGTGCGAATACTTTTAACACAAGTTAAAATTTTATACACACACAAAAGACGGAGACCATTTATTTGTTTGACTATATTTCACAATCCAAGATCATTCTGGGGGAGGGGGTGTCCCCCATTTTTTTTCACTCCATTTCCCTGGGGTGGGGAGGTCTCCCTCTCGCGATGATTCTATATCTGACCATCTGTTCATACTTCATATAAGCCAATAAGGAGACAGCTTCCATTAAAGAAGCATTTATTTGTTTCCGTCCTTAAACAAGTCTACTGTTCTGCAGAAAGATTATTGACAAGATGTTCAATTGCATGTGATGAATTGGCAAATTTTGAGTGAATGTTGCAACACTAGGGAGCACACTCTTAAGTCTGACCAACTTGCTATATGACGTTGCTCACAAATGCATGCATCTTACATTTTCTTACTCCGACTAGGAATGAAATCTGGGCACAAGAAAGAAAATGGAAGGGGGCACACCTTCCCTTTGGATCATTACATAGACCAATGTCAAACTTTCTTCCTCTTCGCTGAATGCATTTGTGATATATCTACTGGCCTGGTGAATCCTTCGCAGACATAAAATAATGCAGCGCGGAGTTTGGCAGAGCCTATAGATTATTTAGTTTCAATCCTACAAAGTCTTTACTTCAACAGTTGAAAAGCAGATGAAAATCTCCTATCGGGTAAGTCTAGTCTATGTTATAGCAAAGAGGAACCTGCTTCAAATTTCGGTTCCATCAATGGTAAAACATGGCAAACAAGCACAAGCTTATGGGGGATTACCATTCTCCAACCTTTACGATATATCTTTCAATGATCATCCAAATCATCCGCGCGCGCGGGGGTTTTTCCCACCCCTTCTTAGGATCTCCCCTTCGTTCCTTTTCTTTTTCTTTCAGATCCATATCAACATATCCATGGTTAATTTAGGAACCAGTCGCTTGGAATGGAAGCTAATACCCCAGAACTATGCTTGTCCTCAGACATAAACTTTCAGCAGTGATCATCCACCTTACTCCAATCAAAAGCCTAATGGCTAGTTCAAAAGTTGATTGCCCCATTTAACATACAATAAGTGAAATGAAAAATGATTTTATAAATAAAAAATGTTTCTTCTGCTCGTGGAAGAAAAAACAGTAGAAAAAAATGATTAATATTGAATAATGATAACAAGAATATGTAAACAATCAAATATTACATGACTACTTATTTTCATCACATTAGAAGCTAGGAGGGCTTGAATCTTGAATCTACTTCTCACACCTCACCACTGTTGTATATGTGTCAAAAGTGTGTGTGTGTCAAAGTCCCACATTGACTAAAGGAAGAAATCTCCTAATGTATATATACTAAGGAATGAAATGGGCTAGCAAAATGAGCTTGAAGGAGAAGTGACCTCGCGCACAAGAGACAGGCCAACTCAGGGCAATCGCAGTTGAAATCAGTCGATTTGCCCCCCTGCGCGCGAGTTCAAGAGGTATTGGGTTCCTTTTACCGGGTTATTTTTACAAAAATGATTAAATAAATAATTACTTTTAACTTGAGGCTTTGACAGTTTCTGGACATTAAACCTCTTCTGAAAACCGAATTTTGAAGATTAATGTTTTGTCTGCCAAACGTCTCCAGATTAATGAACGCTGAACGTTTTTGAATTAATGGACATGCACGTTTTGCTGTTTGAGGCGTCTGTGACTAAAGTGTTAAACGCTGAACGTTCATTGTTTAATGTGTGTATAACCGAACCATTAACCGGTAATTATAACCCAACGTTTGTGTCTCCTTCATCGGCCTATATATACCCATGGGTGAGGACAGAACAAAGTGCAAGCCTTCACAATTGTCTCCTCCCTTTGACTCCTGTTCGTCTGTGCTTGCTTTAGCCTCTATTATTCTGTTCCCTTGCTCTATCGCAGGAAGTGCTTGTTTAATCCTGGGGAGCTGCCGGCCCGTCGTCTAGGTGTGCCGGAATAGTTTTTAAGGACAGTGTCCTTCCGGGTACGACTCAGGCAATCAAAAGCTCGCTGTTCACGCCTGCCACCGGTGTCACCTACAACCACACCACTTGATCATGAATTAACCACAGGTAGTTTTTATATCTAAATTTCTACACAAGAAAGAGGGATTGCATTTCTCTAGCAGTAGCCAAACACAGCCTGATGACCTCTTCTGTATTATTAGATACTCCAAGTTCATCACCAAAAAAAAAAAAGATACTCCAAAGCTACAACATTAAAGCTACCAGCTACTGCCCTCGCAGGAGTTGATATCATAATTCAAGGACCGAGTTTGTGGGAAGGAGCAAGGTTCACGAGAGATCAATGCCGTAGGATATTGCTATGGAAAGCTTCATTCAGGGTATGTCTGGCTTGAGGTTTGCAGGGCTGGGAAACCTATTTATAAACTAAAATGCGAGTTTGCCTTAAGGATCAACTCGTTTCGTTTGGCACTGAATTTCTCTCTAAACTTTTCTTTCCAAACCCTCCATTGGCGCTGAAGCGGAAGTGGTGGTGGACTTGCTTTTGCATTCAATGAATTGCATCAATAACAAAAGTCAGAAATCACATTTTAGATAGAAATTTCCAAACATCAATCACGATCCGCAAATTCATCAACGAATAAAGTTTGCAAATCAAGTTTACACCACTCTAATCCGAGGTTGAGGGTTTTCAACAATGCCGAAATTTAACCGGGCATCAAACATCATTATAATGATATTCACCTGTATTTCAAACCTTAAATTGAATCCAGAAAATATTTTCATATGACAATAAAGCTCTGAGTACCGAAAATGTGATTCTTGAATTCACTTCTCAGAAACAAAGAGATCGGTACGGGTAGATCAGCTTTTTTCCACATTAGCAGGAAAACCAAAGCATCTAGCTTAACTCCTGATGATTAATATATAGTTGGTAAACATACATAGGAATTATGATTAAATTAGCAGCAAAGCTTTTTCCCCAGATTCCCAGAATGCCTATACAAAATCTCTCACTAATATCCTCACTATGCACATCGTAATCTCCAAAACCTAACCTTATTCGCCGGCTCTGTCTTCGGCGAGGGCTTCCGATGAGTTATCTGGCATTACCTTCATCTGCTGCTGCATCAGCGTCCTCCGCTCCATATTCCGTGTCTTGTTAATTGTAACCGCGCAGATGACTGAAACATTAACGAAGATGCCACAAAAACGATTAGATACAATCACACACACGAAAGAGAACAGTGAGAGAAAATTGATCGGAAATTGGATTACCTCCGGCGCCGACGAAGCAAAGAAGACGGAAGACTTTTGGTCCGGGGGGACCTGCCACCTCTTCTCCGGTCATTCCTCGGCTGGAAAGCGCTTCCCAAGTTCTCAGGATCAAGCTCTCTTGCTCTTACGAATCTACGATCCTTACTCCTTGATAAAAATCATAAAATAGAAAATCACTGTCTCCCCAAAATTATGTGAAAGGTGTAGAATTTTTATAAAATAGGAAATAAATTGATTGATTGTTCAAGCAAATAAATTCGTTCGCTTTGATTGACGAAGTTATGAAATATATTTGAGTGAAGGGGCAAAAATATCTTAAAGTTTTTTCAAAGCAATTATGATATCATTTACTTTTTAAAAAGAGTAATGTTATTTTAAAAATTTAAAGAAGTCTGAAAATTTTAATTATCAATCCTGTTAAGTTTATAGAAATTTTAGAAGGCTTAAATATATGTTAGAATGCTAAAAATATTAGAGTGAATGTTTATTCCAATTCTATGGAGGCTCTTTCCCTTATTAAAAGTAACTTCGCTCAAAGCCACCTTCTTACAACAATTTTAATAAATATCTAAAGTCTCACCATGAGGGATTGAAAAATCATTTTTGATTACATATATAGAGAAGCCAATCGTTGTGCCAGCTTCTTAACCCATAAGGCTTTAAGGGATCATTTTAATATTATCTTATTTGACAGGTCCCCTGTTAACTGTAGAAGCCTTATAACTTTCAACATGACCTAATTTTGCTCTCTTTGCGCGAGCATGTATTTCAAAAAAAAAAGTGCAATTTTATCACACCATTAACTTAGATTGATGTTATCAAGATTGATGTTGTTGACAATTAAATCTTTTATTTTAATTAATAACATGATATGTGTCTTCCTCTCACTCTTTTTGGATTGTTCTTCTTTTCTCCCTCTTACTCATATTGTGTCTTCTTTTTAGCTTGCGTCTTCCTCGTCTCTCTCCGAATGCATACCCAGACCCCTCCCTTTTCAGCTTCATATTTTGTCTCATAAATCCGAGAAAAATAAGGTCCATCTTCTTCCTTCCCTAATCAAGCAAGTAAAACTTTGAATTGTTCATCTAAGAGCAAAGTACAAAGTAAAGATTGGTGCCTCCTTCATCTAAGAGAACACGTACACCACCTAAAAATCCTTGTGACTCTTAAGCCATGATACAATGCCATCCATCAAGATAGAGCTGGACCTCTTTATTGAGCGATAGTGAGGCTCGGCTGTAACCTCTTATCTAATATTGTTTGTGAGATTGCTCAAGACTTCAAAGCATGTTTACTATTCCAAAGCTCTATCTTTATAGCCCTTTAAGAAGCATCCAAAGCTTATCTAATTGGACTTTTTGAAGACATGAGCAAATTCTCAGAATTTGAGACCCCATTTCTATGAATCTCAATGTTTTGTTTGGTTTGTTTATCTTTATTTGTTTTTTTTTTGTTGGTAATTGTATAAATCCCTCTCTTCAATTTCTTCTTTATGGCTGTGGCTATTCCTTTCTAGGTGTTGGTTGTTTGTTTGGATCAAGATTTTGTTTCTTTTCCTTTTGCAAACGACTGTGTTGATTCCACCACCACTTTGTTATGGTTCTTGATATGAACTTGAAGGTTTTGGTAGGGGTGAATTTGAAGAAGATGAGGACAACAAAAGGATTTTTGAATGAAAGTGATGAGTTTGATGAAATTGAAGGGGGATAGACATATTTTTTGATTGGGATTCTGATGAGTAGGAAGCTAAATTACTTGATAACAAGGATGATAAGTTGAATACAGATGGATTTGCTCTAGTAGAGGTTGTGTATGGTAAACTCCAACAAACAATTATGACAAATCTTGGTCTAGAATTGATAGAACTGGCCATTGCTATGATGAAGAATGCTCAAGGGTGAAGGTGGTAGTATATGGAGGCAAAGCAAAGGCAACATGAATCTTTTTTATTTTAAATGCTAGATCAATTTAGCATCCCATATGGCTTTCCGTATTGGGTTTTTGCATTCTACTAATCAACTATTAGAAAAAGGGAAAAATTGCTCTGCTTATTAAACTTTCAGGGTAACATTGCTTATTCTAAAAGGTAATAATACCTAATACTCCTTCAGAAGACTTTTAAAGTATTTTTGCCCCTTAAACCAAAATATTTTGTAAAAATAATGTGCCTAAATGGTATTTCAAAAAAGCAAACCATGTATTATTAAACTAAATAGTAAGGAAACGTAGAAAAATTTATGCCTTGCTTGGTGCGATGGAAATGAAAATGGATATTGAAATTGGAATGGGTATGAGGTTCAAAAATATATTCGGCATATTCATGAAATCCTAGTATAATTTTTATCAAAAATACATATTTATAATGTTAAAAGACTAAAATACCCTTACTTAAACAAAAAAAAAACCTATACTAACATAGCCACCCCTCTCTAAATCATCACCAGAGAAATTGAAGGCAACCTAATCTAGATTCAACAAACCATATTTAACACAACTCAGAGGCAACCCAATCCACAATAGCCAAAGTTCAATCCCTATTTTTCCTGTAAACTATCTAAAGAACAAACCACAATGACCTTGTCGATCACTATCAATAAAGGAGATTGATACTTTGTTTAGATACTTTGACATTAGAAGGCTTTTGCAAAAATTGTGACTCATATTGACCTTTATTTCAAGCATTTTGTTTCTACAAAAATCATGACCTTGGTTTATCCTTACCGTTACAAGAACCTGGTTTGTTTTTGCTATTCGCATACTTGGTTCATCCTCACCATTTTGAGATCTAAGTTTGTCCTCGCCATTCACAAATTTGAGGAAGATGGTCTAAGATCAAAGGAGACTGATGCGATAAAGAATGAGGTTTTAGCCATTGAGAAAGTTGTTGAAAGTGGGTGATAAGTTCTTCAGTGAGAACTTTAAAGGTTGATAGGAGGTAGCCATCATTCACAAACCTAATTCAACAAATAGAAGTTAGACGAGAAAGTAAGAAAGGGGTAAAAAATGAAATTAGGAATTTGAAATTTGAAAACTAGATTTTTTTATGGAATTCAATTCCATCAATTTTGATGGAAATAGTTTCCATGTGAAAGTCTAATTCAACTTAATTTTAATGAACTAATCATAAAAACTTTTCAATTCAATTTCTACATTCATTTCCATTCTTTTAATTCCATCATACCAAACAGGCTCTTATTCTTTATTGATCCAATTATGAAAAATATTTTGTAAAATGTATTAGAATATCATTGATATTTCTCTAGCTTGACAATAATTTTCAATCATCAACTAAATTCATCTAGAACAAATTATATATCATATTCTTCTCATCCTTACTAAATAGTGTAATTGTTTTTATTATTTTTAAATATAAAAATGCTTTTTATTTATTTACATCAATTCATTACTTTTATAGGTAACTTTGAAGGAGAGGGGTCTCTAGATTTTTTATTATCATCTCTTCTCTATTTCTTAATCATGATCATTCATCAAATCTAGTTGACAAAAAAAAAAAGATAATTAATCAAAACTATCATGAAAACACAAAATGGGGAATGCAGAGGTGGGTTTAATGAGTTAAATCCTTGATAATATATTTTTTTTTCTTAGAATGTGATTGGTTTTTAAAAAAAGCAGCACAAAGAATAACTATTTTTTAGCCTAAATTATTCAATTCATAGATCAAACGAGTAAACTCATTTGGGTTATAGGTTGGTCCATTTATCCCATGTTTCTTCTCTCTCTCTCTCACCCACAATTGCCAAACTATAAGACCTATATTATATTAGATTTATATATAATTTGAATCTTGAATTATAGGTTCAAGAATGATTTAAACTCTAAACCTTTATTTGATATATTATGAATATTAAATAATTAAAGTTAGGACAATTTCACTTTGTCGTTAAATTTAAACAAACATTTGTTAGGTTTTTTTAAAAATAGGGTATAATGTGCGATTTTTACCAAATTTTACTATCCCTCTCTCTTCTACCTTAATTTAAGAAAAATTGCATATCGGGCTTTTTTTTTAAAAAAAAAAGTAATAGATGTTTGTTTTAATTTAACGATGGGGTTAAAATGCACCAAATTTATTTGTTTAGAGTTCAAAATGTACTAAATACAAGTTTAGAAGTTAAATTGCCTCTAAACTTATAGTTCAGAATTCTAATTACATATTAATCCTATTATATATTTGAGGTGGCTCATATTTTGTAAACGTGTTACACCCAAAGTGTTTGTCTTTTAAATATGGTAAATGATATTATTATTTTTGTTCCTTGAATGAATGTGATAAATTATGTTATGTTTTTCTTAAAAATAATTTAGGTCATATTGCATCATGTAAGATGTGAATTTAAAGTGAATTATATGGGTTGTGTTTATATATTAAACCTACAAATTATTAAATAATAATTTATATGAAAAAGATTGTATGGGGATGGTGGGTTGGTCTGCTCTTCTTTTATCCACCAACCCATATGAGTTGGGTTGGGTTAAGTTTTATACATATTATTTTAATATTTTGACCAAACTTGTTTATTTTTAAAACAAACTTTTAATAAAAAAGCGTGGTGATTATTTATTAGAAGTTTATCATATCTACCTACTAATCTTGACATATTGTCCCATGATACCTAAGGAAAATATAGCTTAAATGTCGTTGTTAAAAGTTCCAAGCATTTTATACCTTAGCTTATCTTACATTGACCGACTATCCTAACCCAAATAACACGATTGAGTGTCCTATTGTCATTTCTAAATATTTGACACAAATGTATTTCATATATCATGTATTTTGATTAACATTTCAAAAATCAGAGCAGAAAAAATAAGGTATTATAATGTGAATGATATTTGGATACTCATTTATAAAAATATTTTATAAATTTTATATTCGATATTATTGAAATTAAGTTTCTTGCCCTTTATTCACGCGCCAACCAGCATGGACCTCAGGTTTATTTGCCTGCCTTTAATCATAGATCACCGCAATTTTTTTTTTTTTTTGGATCATTTGTGAATCAATTGTGGAGAAAAGAGAAAATATAACTATTGATCTCTATAATTTTATTAAATTTTAATTTTAGTCTCTATAATTTATTTTTAATATTTTCAATCCTTATAATCCCTATAATTTAATATCATTATATATATATATATATATATATATATAAAAGGAACAAATATCATCTAATCCTACTAGAATTACAATAATTGAAAACACTGAAAAAACTAAACTAAAAATAAAACTTAATAAAACTATAGGGATGTGATTGTGTTTTTCCCGGAAAGAAAACAAGTTTCATAGTTCGTGTTTTTTTTTTCACCTCCCTGGGAGGACTTTTTTTCTGGACGTGCTTGAGAAAAACAATCACCATTTTTGATTAATTTGACATCCCACGATATAAGATGTTTTAAGAAAAATAAATAATTTATTAACAAAACTTATCACAAAATTATTTTTTTAAAATATTTTACTCTTTAAATATATCTTCTCTTCTCCTTATTAAATAAAAGATATTTTTAAAATTTTATATTTTTTTAAAAAAAATTAAGTTTTGAAGAATTCAACCTACATTTAATTGATTTTATAGCTAGTTATAATTTTGCCAAAAAAATGTCTCGTAGATCGGACTGAATGGAGTACTAATTTTATTATTTTAAGGTCATTTAAGGTCATTGACACTGCCAATCTTGCATCACAGGACACGCTACCATTGCACTTCTTTCACGTCGATTTGCTTGCAGACTCATCAACGATGTGATTCACATACATACATGCATGTGCCATTTTGAATACTCTTATGATTCTTGTCATAAGTATGTACATTTGATCAAGTGATTTCTTTCAATTACCAGACCATAATAAAATAATCTGCAACTTTTTTATCATGATTCATTATATTATATAAAATTAAACAACAACAAAATTCCTACACACCCTTGGCTTGCGGACGTGTGTGGTATTTTTTTTTTTTTAATTATTCCTTTCTTTAACCCTTGTTCGGATAGGGTATTGATTAGTTACCATCACCATTATATATTAATTAGAAGCATGTCATCATCATTATTAATAAAGTATTTTTCTTGATTATTATGCAGTTATTTTTTTTTTCAAAAACACTTTTATCTAACCATAAATTTATATAGAGTTAATGGACGGATGAATTTGATAGGTTTATAAAATTAGGATGATTTCTATAACTTTCCTTGAGCATTATAATTTTTCTTTTGGAAAAAATTACATTCAAGTCCTCCACAACATAATTAAATATCACAAAGTTTATTAACAATTTAATATAGCAAAATGATAACTATATATTATTTGCAATTTTGTTATATTAAATTATCAATGAACCTTAGTATTTTTTTAATAAAAAGTTATCAATAAATCTGATAATATCTAATTATATCATGGGAACGTAATTCTTCCTTTTCATTGGTGGAATGTGCTTCCCTTGGCACTACTACTCCCACCATACAGAAACATTGAACTGTAACAATATTAAGGGAGAATGATGTTTAAGGTTCTCTCAAGGGAATTCATTGCAATAGGGACCCATCAATTTTGTGTTGGATATTATATTATAAAAACAAGTATATATCGTTATTAAAAATTAAACATTAACTTGTTATATTTATAAAGAAATCTTAACAAAAAATATAAGTTAAAGTTTAACTTTTAACAACATATATGAATTTTTATAAGATAATATCTGATGTAAAATTGATAAGTTTTTATTATGATAAATTTCCTTCAAAAGGCCTTAAATGTCATTCTAGGGACTTAGTCATTGTGACCCTCCCACTAAGTGGAGAGGTAGGTGGGTTTGTATTTTGTTGATGGTTTTTGTGGAGAGATAGTGCCCTTTTGGTACATTCAAGAGAAGCTATAATAATAGTTGGAATTAGAAAAAATTGCTAATAAGTTTCTTCTTGAGAGCCAAGTGTTGCTGAAGGACTAATGGATGACTAGAGTACAAGTAGATAGGCTTAAAATGTAAGCAAAAAATAAGCTCGGAATTTCATGGTTATTTGCCTGCATTTTGATCCTTTGATCCTCCAGCACAATTTCAATTTCAAGAGAGGACTTACAAACAACTTTTCTTTGGAATTAATACAAAGAATTCAAGAGATAATCACATTTAGAGAAAATAATAACTAAGGATCTCATAACACCATTAATTATAATTAAGATTCCTAAATTATTGAAATCCTAATAATGAACCTTAGTCCTTACTTAGAATTAAAAACATATGAATTTAAAATAAAGAAAAGGTGCAACTAAAATTACTATTATGAATTGAGATTATTGTTAATTTCAATTAAAAAAAATAAGATCCAAACTTGTGAATGGGATTAATAATAGTCCTAATCTATAATAGTAATTTCAGTAATTTTGACCTATAACATTTGAATCTTGATTTTTCTAAATGATATTAACAATAGTCTCAACTTATTATAATAAGTTCAGTAGTTCCTTTTCTTGATTTTCTAAATGATTTACCTATATATCGATAAGTATAAAAATAATTTTTGACTTCCCATTCAAAAATGACTTTAATAAATTTTCAAGTAACTAATATATTTTTATAAGTGCTTTTGAAAAGTTTTACAAATAAATTTTAATTTCATAATGAAAACAACATATTCCCAAGTGTGAATTTTAATTTTCCTAACTAGTATTGAGAATCATTCCAACCCATAATAGTAATTTTACGAGTATCTTTTTTTAATTTTAAATTCATATTTTTAATTTTAAGTAAAGATCAAGCATGATTCATTATTAAGGTTTTAATAATTCAGGATCATTAATTATAATTAATAGTTTTATGGGATCCTTAATTGTCATTCTCCCTTACATTTAATTGAATTGATAGCCCTTGGATATGACTCAGTCGTACATTATACAAGATTGATTAATATCAACATTTTCGTCTAATTATTTTAAAACCATGATGAGCTCCACTTCTTCTTGTTTTTTTTTTTTTTGTAAATCGTTCTCTCATCGTTCCTCTGTCATCAAATAAAAATGCCATGGATCTAAAACCCAGCCACATGCAATCTTCCCTTGTTTGTAAACATCACATTGAATAACTTATGACAGAAACACTACACATTGAAGCCTTATTCAATATTTATTGTCAGATAAGGGCAAAAGTAAAATAATTTATATATTCATTGTCAAAGTTATCTATATTCATTGTCAAAGTTATCTTTAATCAAGAAAAAAAAACATAGCTTGAGAATGTTTTTTTGGTTTAAAAAATTGATAATGATTATCGTATAATTTTTTATTTTATTTTAAGAACAGAAAGAAAACCTTAATAAATTAGATGGTGTTGCAGGTTTTCAAGAAAAGGACAGGAACCGATCGAAGCTGTATATAAATATATAAAGTGGTGGACATGGTAGAGATAAGAGAGTAAGATACAGTTTCCTTTCCCAATAAGAAGTAAGGTTGGCTGTGAATTGATTTTGGAGATGGCCGGAAAAGAAGAAGAAGTGGCAGGTTGTGAAGATAAATACAGGTCTTTCTTGTTGGGTGAGCATGAAGCCAACACTCTCTGGAGACATGGTGGCCCTCCCAGCTACGACGATGTCAACTTGCTTTTCGAACAAGGCCGAACCATGGTTGCTTCTCCCTTCTCATCTTTCTCTCTCTCTCTCAAGATTTCTTCATCTTAATCATTTTTTCATTTGTTTTGATTTGCAGGAGTGGCCGGAAGGATCATTGGAGGAGACTGTGCAAAATGCTGTCAAGACGTGGGAGATGGAGCTCTCTCACAAAACTCGCTTGCAGGATTTCAAGTCCATCAACCCTCACAAGTTCAAGCTCTTTGTCAATGGTAACTTCAAGGTTTCTTTCATTCTGTTTCTTGTTTTCTCTGGCCATCACCTTTGTCTTAGTTTCAGCTTGGATAAAACATCTTCGTGTCAACCGAATATAAGTTGGGAATCACACTCATCTAGAAACACTGTTTTCTTCTAATCTGTTGACTTTTCTGTTTCAAACTTGAAACCGTGTTAAAGTCATTGTTCATATGTTTTTTTTTTTCTTTTTTTAAAGTCTAAACGATTTGAATCAACTGTTTGAATAGAGCAGCAAACAATAGAATATGAATTGATGCTGCGAAACATATAGATCTGATCTAACCTTTGAAGCATGGCAAACAGGCAGGGAGGGATTATCTGGAGAGGAAACTCTTCGCATGGGAAGTTACAATGCTCTGCTGCAAAACTCTCTGCCAGAACCGTTCAGGTATTACAAAGCAGAAGAAGAGACCTTTGAATCATCTCACGAAGCCTTCAGATCAGCTTTTCCTCGAGGCTTTGCTTGGGAAGTGATCAAGGTTTATACTGGACCTCCTGAAATCACTTTCAAGTTCAGGCACTGGGGCTTCTTTGAAGGCCCTTTCAAGGGCCATCCTCCTACTGGCAAGATGGTCCAATTCTATGGCTTGGCAACCCTCAAGGTAATTCTCTCCTTTGCATCTGCTTTTCTGCTGAGAAATCAAAATTTGAGCTCAACTTATGCAGCAAATCATCATTGTCAGAATTTATGTGTATTCATATCTGTACTGGTTCGATTTCAGAGAATATTTGATTGTTGAAAAGACTGTATATTATATGATATGATTTTAGACCTGTGAAAGGATGAATAGGAGCAAAATTACATTTAAAGGTACCAAATTGAATTTTAAAACAGAATATATATGTGGAAATCATATCAGATTATTTATTCCTGAAGGAACATGGAAAACTTATCAACCAGTGAAAACGTTTTAAGTGGTATTTTCACAGGTAATGATAGATTAAATGTGTTTTAAGTTTGATTCATGAGCTTTGAGTTTTTTTTCTTTTGTTTTGTTCACAGGTTGATGAATCTCTGAGAGCAGAAGAGGTTGAGGTTTACTATGACCCAGCAGAGTTAATAGGAGGACTTTTATCAAGGACACACACAACCGTTCCCATAAATGAAACCAGCAAAAGCTCAGCTACTTCTCAAGGATGTCCTTTCAGCAAATAATTGCATCTCAAAATTTCAACTGAAGCACCTGCTTTGATCTTATTACACATGCAGTGGAATCATTATTTGAGTTTATTATGATTATCTTATATGCATGTTGAATAAAACAAGTACAAGATGAACATCTAGCATTCTCTTTCTCATTTTCTGTGAAAAGTTTATGGTAATTCATGAGCTCACTGGTCCTTGCATTGTGCTTTTCCACATTTTGTTTACAAGTCAGTGAAGAAGGAAAAAGCATCTTTCCAATATCCATGAAGAATCAGCTTACCTACAATTCATATTAAGCCATCTCATGTGTTTATAGAAAATCACATTTATTCACGTTGAGATAAAGCAGGTAATGATTATTTATAGTGTCGCCGCTTCATCACTGTCTTCAGAGTGATGCAGAACGACTTAATCTCGAAACTTTACACCTCCTAAAATCATCTAATTATTGATAAGCAGCGGTGATATGGAATCGAGCCCAAAATTTGCAACAAAAACCTCGAAATTCCTTTGCGATCAGAATACTAATTAAACAGCCAATCAGTAATTTATCAGGCACGCAGTTCACACAGAGAGCATAACAGATTATGATAATCCGAAACCTACGAGTCGCTTGACAGCAACTTCAGGAGAGATGAGACAGAGCAACGAAGATCCTCGCAATTCCAGTATTTCACCGCCATTTGACAGGAAAGCGATCAGAGTTCGGAGAGGATGAGATCGATCCTGTGTTTGTCAGAACCTTTTCTAGTTCCACTTTTGGCCAAAGAAATATTAAACGATCCGAGATTTATCAAGTTTAATATAAAACATACTTAAAAAAATGATAACAAAATCTTGTTAAAATATATAAATTACAATAATTTTTTTTCAAATAGCATAATTTTTAAAATATTTTAAGTATTTTTTTATATTAATAATTTTGGGTTGAATAATTAAATTATCTTTTATTTGAAATAAAAAATAACAATTTCATATAAAAAGTTATTTTTTATTGTTCAATTATTATAATTCAAAAAATAAAAATTATAATTACTTAAATAAAAATTATATCTAATTATTTTTAAAACTTAAATTTTAATAAAAAAATTTTATTTGAGAAGTTATATTTTTTTATTCAATTCTTACAATTTACATAATAAAAAATTGTAATTAAATATTTTTAGAGAACTTGAATTTTAATAATAAAAGAAATTTTATATGAAAAGTTGTATTTTTTTATTTATTTTTTTTCATTTACATAATTAAAGTTATAATTATTTAAGTAAAAGATGTAATTAGAATTACTTATTTTCAGAACTTGTTTATCAATCAATCATAGAAGAAATTTCATATGAGAATTTATAATTTTTTTATTTAACTTTTGCAATTCACGTAATAAAGGTTGTGATTGAAAAAATAAAATCATACACATAATTTTTATTTTAAAGGGGGGGCAATTAGTTATTTATTATTAATATTAGAAAGGTACCTAACAAACTTCAAAGGAATTATAAGATTTTGAGAGACTTGATTCTTATTTATTCGTTTAGGTGAGATTTTATTGTTATTTTCTCAATATACAAATTAGTTATTAAAATTGATGGCACCAAAATATCTCACTGGTTAAAATATTATGAAATTTCAATTTAGTTTAAAGAAAAAAATAAAAAATTTTGACAGTAAAAAAATTAAAATAGCTTTAACATGCTATACAAAATCATTAGTTGTTAATTTTCTTATTACACTTGTTTATTTACCAATAGCATTATATTACTTGTAAATTATAATACTTGTCAGTAATTTATAATTGATGTTAGTAAATTACAAAATCTGTCAATAATTTATAATTAATGTTAGTAAATTAACAAGTAAAGTTGACAATTTAACAATTTAATGTTGCTACTAATGATTAAAAAATTGATATTAAGTCTTATTAATTATTAACGTATTAACTTATATAATTTACAACTCATATTCATTAATTAACAAGTGAAATAAAAAAATTAACAACTAATAATCCTGTATAATAAGTGAAAGATATTTTGGTTTTTTCACCATCAAAATTTCCTTGACTTTTTCCCTTAAACTGAATTAAAATTTTAAAATATTTTGAACCCACATGAAATTATATTTCTTCATCCTTAATTGAAATTCTCTTAAAATTAAAATATATTTACCCAGAGAAAAAAGCAAGAGTAAAAGTTTGCCTTTTAATATTATCTAAGGGGTATCCATCACTATAAACTATTAATAAAAAAAATTTATTTTTAAAGTAATTAAAATAAAAATATTTTTTCCTAACCGTTAAATTCCCTAACATTAAATATTAGAGTGCCAATTAGTATTTGTTAACTATTAACGTTAAGAATTTGATGGCAATAATAAGAATGCTCCATTTAGATGAGTGAGAAACAAAGTTGACTTGTGTGAACATTTATTTGGGCTTCCAGATATAAATTAAAAGCCCAATAAAATTAAATAAATAAGCTAAATAAAAAAAATAGAATTTAACAAAAAATAAAATAAAATAATATCTTTATAATTTTAAAGAAATTCTTTTCCTTTCCGTGGTTCCCAAATCCCCTCAATTTTGTTTCTATCAAATTGAAAATCTGAAATAATAAGAAAAAAATTAAAAGAGAATTTGATTTTGATATAAATGATCTTGTCAGTAAGAGAAAAAATCTTAATTGGTACCTATAAAAGGAAAAAAAAAAAAAACAGAGAGGCCACAAAAGGGGCAGAATTTTTAGAGGAGATGGATCATATTGGGAGCCTTAAAAAGTAAGTACATTCTTACTCTTGTTCCATTCAAGTTGCTAGGGGCAATGAGTCACATATTGAATTTTAATGCCTTCTGTACATTTTATCGGTTTGATTTGCTCCTCAACCTCGAAGTGACTATTCTCTATCCGCATCCCATCAATTTACTTGTTTATATATGTTCTTGTTTTAAGTGCATATGCGTGACTGGTCATGGTGTACTGTGTGTTTGTCCAAGCGGCATGATGATATTCACTTATTGTGACTATGCCTTGTCTGCATCCTCGCCCACCTATGTATTTTGGTTTTTATTTCTTTTTGGTTTATTAATATTATTTGGTGTGTGTTTGCCATAAAAGGTGTGTGATAATTAATTCCTCTCATGGTTGATTATGTTGCGCACAAAAAGACACTTCATATTAGCCATGTGATTTTGGGCGTTGACACTCCCTTTTTTTTTTTTTTTACTTTGTGTAAATTGTGAAAATATCATTTTTACAACTTTATTAGATGGCCAAATAAGTTTGTTGGCAACTTCTTGAAATTAATCCCTTCCTGGAGTATTGAATCATTCTTTTTCTTTTCTTAAAAAAAAAAAAAACAAAGTGGGTGTCCATGAGTGATACTAAATCATTTTGATGCCCTGATATTGTGAATGATATTAAATCACCGCAATTGTCAAATAAAGAAAAGCTTTTCAAGCATTATTGTAAAATAATGAAAATAACAAAAGGTTTAACATATTTTAAGTTATGTCATGAGTGATATCAAATCACTTTGGATCTCTAAAATAATCAAAAGAAGATACAGTGAATGAAACTAATTCATCACAAGTATCAAAATTTGTTTTAAAGTTTGCTTATTAAAATATTTTATAGAAAATTATTCTTAAAAATTTCTTTTACTCTTTTAAGGTTTGTCATGAGTAATACTAAATTACCGTGTGCACTTAGAATGTCAATCGGCAGACTGTGAGTGATACTAAATGACCACAAGTTCTAATGCTGGTTATTTTTCTCCTACCTAGAGGTACTTCCTTGGAACAAATTGTTACTTAAAAAATAAATATAATAATATAACACAAAATATCAATCTTTTCATAAAAGAAATTAAATAAAATAATTTAAAAAGCTTAAATAATAATATTTGAATTAAGTGAACTTTGATCTTCATCATAAGATAAGTAGGCTTTAGGCTTTGACTCTAGATCAAGTTCTCTCATGTAAATAAATAATTATATTTTTCTCTATTTTTTTCATGTAAAATAAAGAGTAATTAAGATATTATTAAAAGGTCAATTAATTTTACATAATTAACTTAGAGTAACTGTTCATATGAATATATGTCGTGGGATGTTTAATATCTTCGTCATACATAATTGATTCTTCAATCTTTTTCACAAATTATCATTTTTTATTATATAATTTTTTAAAATTTTTTTAAAATTTTAATGATGACCCTCATTTTTCTTACATTTATTAACTTTTTCTCACCGAAGAAAGGGCACAATTCGGGCGCGACAACCTGCACGTGCCTCGTGTTTATTTTGCAACCAACATGTTTTGCGCCTCTTTTACTGGAAGAAAGATGGACAGCTGTTTATAATAACAGCAATAATGTTTTTTAAAAATCTCTTTGGTTCAATTATATGATATTCGGTTCTATTTTAAAGCATTACAGACATAACCGAGAGTAATTTTTAGTGCAATTTTTTTAATTTACCAATTAAACTATAGATTTCACTTAAAAAAAAAATCAAATCTCTTCCACTCCATTCAACTACTATTGAAAAATGCTGACTTTTAAAAAAAAATCTCAAATAATTGTTAGATGTTGAGTTTCTGATATAAGCCAGGTAAAGAGAATTTTCCTTTTATTTCAACATTTGAAGGGAAAATTATATATGTTACGTGGGACAAATTTATCTATAGATAAGTCTCACAAAATTTAAAACTCATAGTCATATTCCTCGAGGTTCAAGTGTAATTTAAAATTGAGATATAAAGACAATATTATCTTTACTTATAATGCATAATTAGTTTAATTATTAGATATATGAACTTATAGTTGTAAAAAAAATTGAAGTGATGGCTATAAATTATTGATAAATTAGATGTAAAAAAATTAGTGTTAAATTTTATTAATAACACATGATCAATTTAACTATTAAATATGTAAAGTTACAGTTGTAAAATATTAAAGTGATAATTATAAATTGCTGGTAAAATAATTATAGATAATTAGTGTTAAACTTTGTTAGTAATGTATGATCAATTTAACTACTAGATATGTAAAGTTACAATTGTAAAATATTGAAGTGATAGTTTTAAATTACTGATGAGTTAGATGTTAAAAATTAGCATTAAGCTTTATTAGTAATGCATGATTGATTTAACTATTAAATCTATGAAGATATAGTTATAAAATGCTAAAGTGATAGTTGTGAATTACTAAGAGGATAACTGTATACAATTAGAAACTTGTAACACTTAATCAATTTAATTATTAAATATATAAATCTGTAGGTATAAAAATTAAAAATGATAGATGTAAATTATTTCATTAATACTCCCTCCATTAAAAAATATAAGGTATTTTTTAAAAAATTGAATATTCAAAAGTATAAGTCATTTTTAATCTTTCAAGATATAATTATTGTCTTTTTTTTTTTAAAGTGTCTTTATTGATAATGACTTTATATTTATTATAGGATGTTTAATAAAGGTAAATATAAAAAGATAGGGTTAGTTAAAAAGTAGGTAATTACTTTATTGAGGGGTGAGATTCAATTAAAAATGTTTTATATTTTTTAACAAAGAGAGTATAATGTATTTTTAATAGCAACATTTTTGTTTTTACACCCCAATTTTAAATTATACTCAAATTTTAAAAAACTTAGTTATAATTTTAAAATTTTATGAGACTTATTTATTAATAAACATACTCTATAGAATCTACACATAATTTTTTCATTTTTTAAAGGTGACAAGTCTTATTTTTTCCCCCAACATTGGGGATTATGGTATCCGCTAATGGTAAAATAAAATGAAAAGAAAAAAAAATAATGCTATTAAATGGCAAGAGTCGGCCCACAAGTTTAGTCCAACAAAGGCCCATTTTTTTGAGGTCAGGAGAATTACATGCCATGTGGGAAGTATCAAATTGTGATATTTTCTACTACAATATTTATCCAAAGATCACGTAATATTTGATACAATTAATTAATGAGTATTTTTCGCCTCCTTAAAACATGATTTGAGTCCTTCACGTGTACAGAGTGACACATTGCTTTATACACTCCACCTCACCTGTAGCACCTAAATCCCGCACGTTGTATTTTTCTTTTCAAAAATAATTACTATCCAATATTTTATATCGTCAACTGGTCCATATATTCGAGTATAATGTGTAGCTATTGAACCCCTAAAGATCGCACTACAGATGCAATTTCCTGTGCTATATTAATATGTATGATAATTACTTTGATTAATTTTAACCCTTTTCTATCTAAATATTTTTCTTCGCAATCACAACTAAAATATTAACCGTGATGGATACTGAATAAACTAAACTTACCATAGTATTTTAATTTTTTTTTAAGTTGCAATTAAATTTTAAGAATCTTCTCTTTTAAAACAGAAACAAATATTGTCTGCTTAATTTTTGTAAAATTTAAATGATATTTATATTGTTCTTGAAATATGGAATATCTATATAATTTTAACATATATTTTTTTTTGCCAAGAGATATAAAATATATGATCAATGATATAAAGATAAAATTTCTAAATTTAAAATATTTGTCTTAATAATATATAGATAAATTTAAATATAATTTTACAAGTAGACGTAAGTTTGAAAAATAAATCACTTTCTAGTTTTATATAGTATAGTTTGCTAAATTTTTATATTTTATATTAATTTATAGCATTATACTGCTAGATCTATATGTATAATTTATTAGAATAAATAATATTCATTAATATGGTTTACCTTAAATTTATAAAACACAAGTAGTATATTGTTTGGCTGAAGTAATTATCGCGTATTGAATTGTTCTAGTTAAGCAACACTGTATCCTTCAAAAAATTATTTTCTAAAACATATAAAATTCTTTTTGCAAGCTTCCATTGTACTCTAGATGGTTAGGATCCACGGCTCTCACCCAAGAAGCCTGGATTCGAGTCCCGGCAACGAAATTTCTTCTTCTCATTATTATTATTTTTTTTTTTTTTGGAGGTTGGACCAGCCTTTTATAATTTTTTCTTGATGTATCCCAATGGGCAATCTGAATATAATAATTAATGATGATCAGACCCAAAAGTAAAATGTTTTTTAAAAAAAAATACCAAGACCCAATCATATTCACGAGTTCCTTCATCAAGAGCTCATCAAATCAATTATGACCCTTTCCTACATTTCTTTCTCTCTATTTCCCTCCACTTCCTCCATCTCAATCATTCATTAATTTTATAATTTTAAAAAATTTATTTAAAAAAATAATATGAATAGTTGAAATGAGAGAAGTGAAGGAAAATGGAGAGAAAGAAGTGAAGAGACCCTCCACACCTTTCATAACGAATTATACCTGGAGGCATTAAAAGGGTCCTTACCTTAATGATCACTTCCGATTCCTCTCCTGCACGTGCACCTTTTGTGCAGGGATACTTTATTCTTTATTACTAGCTCCACCTGCAAGTTTACTGGCAGGAAACTTCGCTTGCACCCATTCAATTCTTCAGCATATGATGACACAATACAAGAGCTTACTCTAAAACTTCCTGTTACAATGTAAAATCACTACACCATAATTCATGAGTAATTGGAGAAAACAGCATATTAATGAACTCCAAGCATGCAATTAGCAATTGAGCACATCTGAGGAACAGCGATATTGCCAACGAATTAGGCCGCGAAGCTATCAACTTGCTTCCCCGGATCCTATTGATCATTAAGCTCTGCTTTCTGGTACAACATATTGTGAATCGAAAACATTGTCTAACGTTACACAGCAAGCCTAGTATGCTATGGGAAAAATAAATTGTGTTTCTCTTCTGGTATCCTCTTTTTTATCTTTCTCACAATGTTACACGAACAATAGAGCCAAAAGCAACCAATTGACCTGTGTTTTCCCCGTCTAGCTTGAACAGCAACCAACTCTCTTCAAGGCAGACACATCATTCTTTACGTCTATTTTCTCTCCCTTGGCTGGTGCAGATGCAGCTCCATTCTCTCCTCCCTCAACTGCCTTCTTGCTAACAACTCTGTAAATTTGAGTCAGAACTTCTGCAAATGCATTTTCCACATTAGTTGCCTCCAGAGCTGAGGTTTCCATGAAGTATAGTGATTCCTTCTCGGCATAGGACTTCCCGTCTTCAGTTGTTACTGCCACAAGGTGACGAAGGTCTGACTTGTTCCCAACAAGCATCACAACAATGTTGGAATCTGTGTGGTTTCGCAATTCTTTCAACCATCTGTCAACATTCTCAAATGTGGCATGGCGAGTGACATCGTACACAAGAAGTGCACCGACTGCCCCACGATAGTAAGCACTGGTGATTGCTCGGTACCTAAAAATGTATTAACAGCAGAAGTAATTATAAGTAATTTGATGAAAGACTAAACTGCAACCTAAATCTAAACTTCAATCTACAAGCTTGGCTAGCTTTGACTGATTAAACAGCAATAGGGACATGGTGATTGTGACTCGTCAGGTAACCAATATCAGCTTTAACAGTCTTAAAAGGCATACCATAAACTAGACTCCAATTCCCTTGCATAATATACCTAAGATAGATTTTGACCATTCTCAGTTATTTCAAGCATCTCGCACTTTTCTGTTGCAGTCAAGGTTTTCTAGTCACAGCGTGCTATTTCACCTTAACCATGTGGACATTGCAATTAAGTGGCAAGAGGAAGGTTCTAAATAACAGCCCATAGATCTTTCATATGATGCTTTGCATCAAGTTGAAAACACTGGAGATCCTATTCAGAGCAATATACTCGGCTCAACCAAGGTTGATGATACATCATGCATATAGAAGCAGAATACCGAGATCCTCGGTGCTCAAAATTTAATTTAGGCAAATGCTTCGTTAAAGTACACTTAACCCAAAGGAAAGGAGAGGTGGGGGTTAAGGAATTAAAACCACATAGTATTATCAACAACCATGATGCAAACAATTAAAAGACAAACCGCCCGAGTTTTTTTGGGTAGCTGATTTGTTCCCAGAAATGAGTACAATAATATATTCAATTTTTTTTAGATTAAAACTTTTGTAACAACTAAACCAACTCCAAAAGGACTTCTCTGCTTGACTTGCAAAATCGTGCCAGGTGACACCAGGTGATCAAGCCAATGAAACCCAGTAATTTCAACATTTAAGCTCTCAACAAAGTCATTCATGCGAGGAGAGGTAATGGAACAAAGCAGAATAAGTGCACAAGGTAATTATAAAACGAAGCCCATTGACAATATCCATTAACAAATAATCTAATATATAAGGTGAGCATGGTCTTACAAGTTACAATCTTATTAAGGACATATAGGTCAACATTTTAATTTTAATTAACACTATTCTAGGAATCAATATTGATCTTTGATCATGTAAAAACTAACGTATTCAGTACAGTGGTGTGATGATTGAGTATGGTTTTCTACTTTTATTTATTTGATAGCCCGTCCTACCATGAAACGTATTCTTGGTAATATAAGGCTTGCATACTTTTCCAAACATATAATACTGGACACCTGGAGGTGACGTGGCACATAATTAAGTGAATAAAATTATTTAATCTTTGATGGTATTCAATTTATTTTTCATAATATCAATATACGACAGATTCGTCATTTTAATTCCACAGCCGATCAATCAATTCAAACAAAGAGTAAGTTTAAGCATAGATCAACTCCACGGGAGAAAACAATATAAGAAGGATTGACAATATTAACTTATGCATGCTTAAGGGACAAATTTGAATTTGATAACAAATAAAGATCTTTACAAATCCAAGTCGAAATTGTTGAATAGATTTCCATGGCGCAAGGTTAAGGTATGAATAAAATGTCCGAGTAGACAAACCTTCACAATATCGCGATCTCACCCATTAAACTTCAAAAAGAAGAAATAGAGAAAGATAACCTACCCAATGAAATTCGAGCAGTGTATCAGTAACTTTACAAGACAGAAAATTAGATCTTAGGATGAAATAAATCTTCTAGAGCACTTTTTCCACTGTAATTAGCCTAACATCCAATCCATCTAACAGCTCGTAGGCATATATAAACACAAATATGGCTAATTTTAAAAAAAAAAAAAAAAGCAAGCAAGTCTAGCCAATTATAGAGAAGCAACCAAGAAAAAAAAAAAAGAATTCAAAGAAAGAGCATACAAATCGTATATAGTTCAAACTGAGTGAAGAAGCAAGAGAAATCGAAAAGAAGGATGAGGGGAAGGAGTGAGAAAGAAGACCTCTCCTGGCCCGCAGTGTCCCAGATCTGAGCTTTAATGACTTTAGCATCAACATTCAAGGTGCGAGTAGCGAATTCAACACCAATGGTAGACTTGGACTCGAGGTTGAACTCGTTCTTGGTAAACCTGGAGAGAAGATTGGACTTGCCGACGCCGGAATCGCCAATCAAGACAACTTTAAAGAGGTAATCGTAGTCGTCGTCTGCTCTATAGCCTGCCATTATCGGGTTAGCCTAGATTCCCGTGGAGAGAGAGGGAGGAGATTTGCAGACAGAAGGCGTTGTTCTGGGTGAAGAGCAAAGTGGGAAGCGTTCGGGTGTTGAGTACACTTGCATTCGTAAAGCGCCACAAATGATGTGAACAAGTGGAACTGCTTCCCCGCGATTCCCTCTCTCGCTCTTTTCTTTTGCCCCCTTCTTACTTTAAAAATTTATAAACTAACCTTTTATTATCAATTTTTTGATGCAATTGAGTATCAACCCATTCTTATCAATTTATCATCAATACATTATCGAGCACATGTTTGCATTGCGGAAAGAAAACAAACTTTGGTACTGTAGTGAACAACCGAGTTTTCCTAAATCTTATTTATTTGACATGGAGGCCTTAATTTAAAAAATATTATAATTAAAATTAAAAATAAAAATAAAATTTTAAAATTACGTTTGATATAAAATAATATAATATTTACAAAAAATACTTATTTTTATTTTATTTTATAATTACACATAAGTTATGAAAAAGACTATAATGCCTTTAAAATGATTAAAAGAAAAAAATTGTAACCTAACTCATCTAATATGATCACTCTCCTTTTAAAAAAGCACAGCAATGCAAAAGGCCACTCTCACCCTTCTTCTTCCTCTTCTTGATGTTCATTTTCTACTTTTTTTATTTTCTTATCTGAAGGAAATAAAAGTAGATTAATAGGCTTATGGAGATCTACGGAGTGAGGCCTTCACTGGTGATGTAGATCAATGGACTAGTACAGATTAATGAAGTTTGACATCTTCTCTCTTTTTAGCCATCAGTGATGTAAATTGACGGACTAATGGAAATCAATAGAGTGAAACCTTTCTTTTCTCTCTTTTTGATCACCAATGTGGGAATTAAGAGACATCCTTTGTCCGCCGTTATGTAATCATCCATCCATCCTGCTCTAGTACTCTTGTGCTTGTGCATGGCTACTGTTGCTATCATTATTATGGTTATGAGAAGGGGTGAAAGTTACAGGGCAAAGGAAGAGGCGAGCAAGAGGGGGTGGGAGGCAAAGGGAGAGGGGAGGAGGTATAGAGCATTTTGGCCATAAAATACACAATCTTATGATTGGTTTTCTAATACTAAGGGATATGTGATATTGAATAATCTTCCCTTGGTGACATTGGGATTAGGATTGAATTTTTTATTACCCCATACCAAATATAAAAAAAATGAGATTTCCTAAACCTCTTTAATATCTTATATCAAATAGAGCCTAAGTTCTTCATCTTCTTTTTTTATAACAAGGTTCTTTAAAAAGAAAAAGAAAAAGAAAATCACAGAGTTTCAAGAACTATAGACATCGACTTATTTAAAACAACTTGAATCCAGTCATCAGTATAAAAACTTTGCAGGGATAGTTTTCTTAACTCTGCAGTTTGGACTCAAGAAATTAAGAAACAAGTGTTAAACAAGTTCAACTAACTATCTTACTTGCTGGTTGTTAAAGTTGAATTATGATCCCTTCCCTTGTCCGTCTGTGCCATGTAACCCGATCATGCCTTGTGCGTTTCTATGAGGTTGTAAAAATAAAATTTTATTAATAATTATTATTTTAATATTACCCTTCATTATTTCATTTTTTAAATCAAGGAATTTTTTTTTTGAATTTATAAACCAATTAAGATTTTTTTAATTGTATTTTATAAATTTCTTACATGTGTGTAATTTTATCAAAAAATATCTTATAAATCAGGGCAAAGAGAACATTGAATAACTAAAACTTGAAAGATTAAGTTAGATCAGTTAAACTTTATAGTTTATCTTTTAACTTTAGAGTGAATTATCCAGAGTTTAGCTTTGTATAAACCTTTAAAAAAAAATCTATATAAATTGTATACTTTGTTTTATTTTTGACAATTTTTATGGATAATTTATGAACTATATTTTCTATTTAATATATGCAGTAATATAGAATTAAATTAAATCTAGTCCTTACCCCAAATTTTACAAACACACATATTAATAGGGTAACGCAATAAAATCACTCAGTGAATTAGCGGTGTCTTTAATTCTCAATTAGAAAGAAATCGCAACACAGGTATGTGAGATACAAGGTCTGATGCTTCCTTAATTACAGCCAAGAAAATGGAATGTTTTTGTAATCGCTTGGTGCCTCTTCACTCCCCCATCGCTGAACTTATCAGTTCTCTTGCATTTTAGTTTTCAGGAAACTGGACAAATGGAGGAGCAAGATATATTTTCACTGGAGATTGACGAAGATACTTTAGTATTTTTGACTTTTATTGAACTTCCATAGAACTGCTAGATTACAATTGCCAATAAAAAAAAATACCTAGAGAAATTTTCCTAACGTTGTGTTTGATTTGAAGGGAGGGGAGGAATTTTTTTTTTTTTAGCTTATAAGGTCATAGTAAAATTGTGCAAAGAAATTAAGATCTAATTATGTTTAAAACCATGAGCTTTATACATTCATACAGCGGGACATCAAAAATCATAATATTAAAGGTATTATGTGGAGGCTGATGGATTAAGAGATCGGCACATCTATTTGCTTTTTTATGAACATGGTTAAAAATGACTATTCAATCTTTCATAATAAGATCTCTGATCTTTTTGATAGTGGTTTTAATGAAAGGGAAGGGAGGAATTTTAATGGAAAGGAAGGGAGTGGTTTAATGTTATTTTGTTTGGTTCAAGAAAAAAAGAAGGTTTATCCATTCATGCGGTGGGACATCAAAAATCATAACATTAAAAATATCCCGTGCAGGCTGTTAGGCTAGAAAATTAACATATTTGTTTGATTCTTTATAAACATAGTTAAAAGTGACTATTCAATCTTTTATAATAAAATCTTTGATTTTCTTAATAGTGGTTTTAATGAAGGAGAAGGGAAAGATTTTAATGAAAAGAAATAGAGTGATTTAACGTTACTTTGTTTGGTTCAAGAGGAGAATGAAAGAAAAATAATTATATATAAATAATTTTATCGTTATTTTATTAGTGTTAATATATTAGAGAATTGTATTCGTATTCTTTCAACTTATTATTATGTAGCTATGAAAAATTTTACTCTTCCTCTCCTAATCCTCCTCGTTTGGACCCTCCAACCATACAGTGTAACACACCAAAATTTTTTTTTTAAATAATTTAACTCAACCATAGTTGGGTTACAGCCACCCAACACATTTTTATATCAATAATTTCAATATAAAATATTTTATAATTAACATTTCAGATAAATTTTTACCTCCCACATGCCATTACGCTAAATCACATTTGTCTATCCTTATACTCCCAACAAGTAAACTAAATCACATTTGTCCATCCTTATACTCCCAACAAGTAAAATAAGCAATTTAATAAATTTTCAACACAAGCCAGTTATTTGGCCTTATAATCATGCCATTTTAACCAATCTAAAGTAAACCAAATATTAAAATTACAGTCATCCAAATTGTACTAAAAATAGAAATAGTTTGAAAGGCATGATTACATTTATATATTCATATAATTGACAATAAACAAAAAGCCCTAATATTGGTAATATAACACATTATAAATCATAAATTAAATACCCAAAAGAGACAGTGGATCTATACTACTAAGCCTCTGGGACTCCTCCACGTGTCACTCGTGGCTCTTCTCCTGAAAATTGTTAACCACATAATGAGACTCAAAAGTCCCAGTAACCAAAGCCAATTTATGATAGTGTATACAAACAGTTAAGTGTGTGCTTACTAAGTGAAAATTAAAAATAATATAATTCCAACAAATATAAAAAATATTACAATACCCACAAACAACCATCCTTATATCCCTCCATTAACCTCGAGCCGTAGCCCTCACTCGGTGCTAAATTACCCGGCCAAAGGTAGATTAGCCCGAGCCCTTACAAGCCACCTATTGAGCTCCAATAGGGGCGTACCACGTGGCACATAAATACAACAATAATAGCAAGTCTCCCAACACCTCCCACAATAATTAAACAAATTCATAATAATATTGCATAATTATACAATATTACAAAATTCATAATTTTCTCAATAATCACCCAATTAACAAGAAGTAACACTAATCACAAATTAAAAGCATGGTTACCTTGTGGCTTTTTCAATAAATTATTCCTTAAAATTTCTCTCTCACCACAATCTTCACCAGTAATACAATCTACAAATAATATATTATTTATAAATATTAGTTTCAATTTTTGAAACTAATAAAATAATTCTAATAATATAATTAAAAATATAACATAATTTCTAATCTCAATTTTAATACAAATCTAGAGTCAATACCATTAAGTAAAATTTTTAACTCCTCTTTTAATTATCAATAAACATTAATAATCTAAAAATCAACTTCTAAACTAATTTTTATTATCAAAATTTTCTTTTTATTTCATAAATTCATACCTAAAATACCCAAAAATTAAAAATTAAGTCTCTAGCTCAGAATCATAATCCTATAGCCATAATAATTCATTTCCCATCCCAAATAATCATCTAAACCTCAATAAATCAATATATATTTTTAGATCTAGTCTAAAATTTGATCCATAAGCCACAAATTCAAAGATCACCAATAAATTTATACTCTAGAATATTTATTATACTACTAACAACCTCAAAAACCATATTTATTTAACATAAATTCATCCCTCTTCCAGATCTTAAATTTTCTACCACTACAAAATCAGAAACCAGAGAAGAAGGATGACTAAGAAAAAATTTTAGAATACTTACTTAGTCTTAAAAAGCTTAAAATCACACCCTAAATATTCTATTAAAAATTCTTACCTTAAAACCCAGCACCGGTGAACTTGGCTCACAGATGCTCTCTCTCTACCTCAACTCACGCACGAAAGAAGGAATGAAGAAATGAAGGAACAGGTGAGTTTTTATAAAAATTTAGTGGGTCCCACATATTTTTTTTTATTATTTCTTCTTTTCTCTCTCCCCCTTTTTTTTAATATTATTATAATATTACTATTGATGTGCGGCAGCCGAAAGTTTCCTTGTTCTTCTCCTTTCTTGTTTTTACACCTTTTCTTTTTTTTATAATAATAATAATAATTTAATAATATATTTTTTTTATTTTTTTTATTTTTTTATTATTTTTTTTATTTTTTTTAGAATTATATCCTAAGTTAGATTTAATAATCATCTCTTACTAATTTTCTTACCTCTAAATATTATTTTAAATTTCTATTAACCCAAATTAACTATTAAAATTTAAATTGGGATGTTCCATACAGCCCCTTAGGCCCTATTTAGTACATAGATTTCAATTTAGAAAGATTGATACTGGGATTAAGATTGGGATTGGGATTGATATTGGGAATGAGAATGAGATTTTAAAATTATGTTTAGTATGATGTAATACTTAAAAAAATATCTTTATTTTATTTTACAATTAAACGTAAGTTAAAAAAAGACTATAATAACCCTTAAAATTAAAAAAAAATTGTCTAATCCTCCTAAACCTTTTGACGAGCGACCATGGCAGTAGAGCATCATCTTCTCCAACGAAGCTCCACGCTCCACCACCCGTTCGCTGCGAGATCCAGAGGCTGGTGGTTGTGAGATCGGAGAAGGAGAAGGCAATGGCGTTTGCTAGACCCAGAGGCCGATGGCAGCGAGATTGAAGAGGAGAAGGCGACAACATTTTCCAGACCCAGCGGCCCCTGGGTGCGAAATTGGAGAAGAAGGAGAACCCATCAAAGACGGTGGAGGCGAAGGTGAGAGACCGAACGTGTGCGACAGATCCAAGCAAAACTGAAAAAGATGATGACTGATTCGAGCGATGGATTTGAGACTGAAGCCGACGATGGATCTCGAACCAATGAAGGAAGAAGATGAAATGGACAGGAGGGCATTTTGGTCTTTGCAAAAATCAATCCCTGGCTTGATTGTGCAATACCAGGGGGGATGGTGGTACTAGATAATCCCACCTAGATGAGATTGGAATTGGGATTAAAACTTTCATTCCCACATACCAAACACAAAAGCTTAGGATTAGTTTGTCCCAATCCCAATACCACTCCCTCATTCCTTCATACCAAACATGACTTTAAGGTGAGATTGGACATCCCAATCTCGTGGGCTGCCCTATGATGTATCGGTTGCTTCATTGCTCTTCTTTCATTCGCGGATTAAGAATATTAAATTAATGGGGACAATTTTAAATTTTTTTAAAAATTAATAATATATAAATTTATAAATATGAACCATCTCCATTATATTAAAACGGAGGTGGAGTTTAAATAGAGGCTGAAAGTTAATTTTATTATTTATGTAATACATATATATTTAAAATGTTAAGTGTGATATTCTTGATGTATTGTTAGTAATCTTTCAAATTTATAACAATTAATATTTCATTTTCTATTCTTAAACTTAATTTTACTTGAGTTAATATAAATTTTGATTTAATCTAAAGTTAATTTAATATAATTTAATAAATATTAACATAAAATATAAAATTTCTGATATTCTTATTTTTCTATAATTATCATATTTGTGTATTTATAAAAGATAAATTATTTTTTAAGTAAAATTTATATTTTATTACTAATAAATATTTAATAGATGTACATATGATATAAAAATTTGTAAAATAATAGTTATTTTATCATTTCATAATTTTTATATAATTTTAATTACTGTCTTCACTATTCATGTATATTTGTGTTAATATAAGTTAAGATTATGTATTAATATATGGTTTTTATCAGCTTTATTTTTCTTAGTCAATTTCATTCATCTCCTCTAATTCTATTCAACATGATAGAAGCCTAGGATTCTTTTTAATTATTTGATTTTTTTAAAAAAATGAGTTTGAGAAAATTTAAAAATAATGAGAATGAAAAATCAAAAAAATTAAAAGGTATATTTAATACACACAAAAGTTAATACCATATAAAACAGAAGAGTTGGGTATGTATTTATAAAATAAATTGAAAAAATATAAACTTAAATCTCTAAATCTTATTTATATTTTATTATTAATCCTTATACTATTTTTAAATATTTTAAATTATTTTATTTTATTTTTTAATATTTTATATCCTTATACTTTATTTATAAAAAAATTAAAATATTAAAAAAAATAAAAATATGTAAACATAAAATATTAAAAACAAGGATTAAAGTCAGATTATTTTTGGGCCAATCCCAAGTTCTTCTTAAATTAATTGTAAACTCCGAGAAAACCCTTCCTCGTGGGTAGCAGATCTAGTTCGCTGAGTCGACGTACAAGCATCCGATTGTCCGGCGGACGCCGTCCGCCGTTGTCAAACCTGCGTGGTTGTTTTCGGGCAAGCAATGAAGAAGGTTCGAACCCTAGGGCCTTTTCTACTCCCAAAATCCGGTGAGATTGATTTGTTCAATCTGGTGTTTTGAATTTTTCCCTGCCTCGTCTGTTCGCGCTGTTCTTGCTTTGCTTTAAACTTTTCATTTTAATTTGGCTTTGAATCTGGTCGCGTGGTCGTTGAATATTGACACCTTTGGATTTGGGAGTATTTACATATTGAGTTTATTTTTTTGTATTAGTTTTTGCTTGAATGGCGTGTAATTGGCTATTATACTTCCTCCCTCTTCATTTTGATTACTAGCGACTTCTGTGATTTGGATATTGTTTTTTCCCCCGCAGTGTTGGATTTGTTGTGTTTAGGCATTCTGTTTATTAATCTTTTTATATTATCATCAAATTTGGAAATTCTCCAGACTCAAGGTGCTGATGTATGATCTTGTAAATGACTTGGCTCGAGTTGTGTCAAAGTGTCTGGCACAAACGTGAAAGGACATTATATCAACTATGCATATTTCAAAGATTTCAGCAGGGGGCATCGTGTAGTATAGGTCCGCCTCTGTCCATGTCAATACTCTCACTACTAAATTTGCTTGCTGAATTGACACAATCCGACTTATGGATAGGTTCAGTTTGGTTGTGCTATGATGAAGGCTACATGATATCACCCTTCCAAAAAGTTCTCCATTCAATAACTTTGAAATTTTGGAAATGGCCACTTCCAAAGCCATATCTCCCTTCAGGCTCTCTTCCCTCCTCCGCTTGCAGAAGGATCCTGCTCTTGCTCTTGAACTTTTTAGAAACCCTAACCCTAACCATGACCCCAAAAAGCCTTTTAGGTACTCCCTTCTTTCATATGATCTCATCATTACAAAGCTTGGTCGTGCCAAAATGTTTGATCCAATGGAGCAAGTACTCCATCAACTGAAGCAAGAGACACGTTTTACTGTTCCAGAGGTGCTCTTCTGTGTGGTTATATCGTTCTATGGTCGGGCACGCCTTCCTGCGCGGGCCCTCCAAACATTTGAGTCCATCCCATCCTTCCGGTGCAAACAAACTATAAAATCAGTGAATACACTTTTAAATGCACTTTTGAATTGCGGACAATACAAGAAAATGAGGGAAATTCTGTCTGGGATGAATGAATATGGAAAGCCAGATGCTTGTACGTATAATATTCTGATCAATGCTTGTTGTGTTGGAGGGGATATAGAACAAGCAAGGACTATGTTCGATGAAATGCTAAGAAATGGGGTTCGTCCAACTGTGGTGACTTTTGGGACTTTGATTAATGGGCTTTGTTTAAATGGTGAGATACAAGAGGCTTTAAAGCTAAAAGAGGACATGACGAGGGATTTCAAACTAAAACCTAATGTCTTTTTGTATACAACATTGCTTAAAGGGCTTTGTCAGATTGGGGAGCTAAGTTGGGCCTTCAGAATCAAGGATGAAATGGTAAGAAATAAAGTGAAGTTAGATTCTGCCGTTTACAATACCCTAATTGATGCACTTTTCAAGGTTGGAAGGAAGGAAGAGGCACTGGTTGTTATGGAGGAAATGAAAAAGAGTGGTTGCAAACCGGACTTGGTGACTTGTAATGTGATGATCAGTGAATATTGTAGGGAGAAGAATTTTGAAGAGGCCTATAAAATTTTGGAGCAGACGGAAATTTTTAAGCCAGATGTTGTGAATTACAATGTGATTATTGGATCGTTGTGCAGAGAGGGTAAATCAATTGAAGCAAGTGAATTGTTTCAAGATATGCCAAGACGTGGATGTGCTCCTGATGTAGTATCATACCGCACGCTTTTTGATGGGCTTTGTAACTGCATGCACTTCAAGGAGGCAGCATTTATTTTAGATGAGATGATGTTTAAGGGTTATGCACCTCTTAGTAGAAGTATAAACAAGTTTATCTGTCAACTGTGCAGGGAAGGCGATTTTCAGTTACTTTCAGCAGTCATGACAAGTCTGGGCAATGGCAATTTTCTTTATGAGGATATATGGAAAATTGCGGTTTCCATGACTTGCAGTAAGGAGAAGCCATCAGAATTTGAACTGTTTGATACTTTAGTGGTGCCATAAATTCCATTTATTCTGATTTGCAGGTTCGGTTGACGATTCAACCAAATGCACTAGTTATGTTCATTTTTTTGTATATAACAACTCACTGACCAAAGATTCATTGGTGATTATTGGTTGAGAAGGGACAGCGTGAATTCATGCAAAGATTAAGTATATACTCCATGAAGATGCTGAACTTTCATGTCCCATTTGACAGACGGTTTTGATATTTTGTTCCGCCGATCTTCAGATGGCTTGTTTTGTCTTTTGGGCATTGCCATTTTGGATGATAACTATAGGATAGGCAACTTTATTTTTTCAAAAAAAAAAAAAAATTGGTAACGAGATCCAATGTTGAATCTTCATTGAAATTGTAACTGCGAGTGAACGTGGTTACTTAGTTACAAGGTCAAACAAAGTATTTGATGCTTCCTAGGTGTTTGTGTCATCCGTCTTCTCTTCAACTTTGTTGTCAATGTGACAATTTGAAGTTAATTTAAAATCTGGTAACCACATACTGCTGTTGATCTAGTAGGACTCTGGTGAGACAACCTGTTTGCGATGCAGCGTATGATAGAATTTAGCATTGATTAAACGACAGTTGAAGCTAAATAAATTGATTGTAATATAATATTAATTTTGTTGAAATCTATCATTGGCTGCTGCTTCCATAACCAGTCTTAGTAACTATCCTTTAAGTATAATCAATCGATACTGGCAAAATTCTTGTTTGGATATAATGTTTGAACATGAATTAATCATTGGTATTTTGAATAATTACAGAGTGAGAGTAGTCACCCACTTTTTGTGAAATACTTCCTCCAAACCAGGGTATAGGGTATTTTTTAGAAGCATTACTTGATCTAAAATATAAAATATTGAATAATTTTTATAATTATTTTTCTAATTAAACTCCTATTTTATTCATTACTTTTTGTTTTTTTTAAAGATACATTAGAATTTTAATTATCATTATTACAGCATTTATATAAAGTATTTAATAAAGATAAAACTAAGACAATGTAAATTTTTTTAAAAATTATTGTTTCAAATAATATTTTTTTTAGAATCATGAATTACTTATTAATATCTTAGATTTTAGGTTGGAGGGAGCAAAAGATTATATCACTACCCCTCAATTATGTTCTTGACTCCGATAGCAGTAGTATTTGTGCGAAGTTCAAATTACATGAACAGACAGGCGGACAGCCTATTCATAGACTGAATGGGTTTGGGTGCTCATCACATATCTAAATTATTCAGATTAAAAATTTAAATAGTCTAAATTTAAAGCATTATTATGTAATTCTATTTTATTAAAATAAAAAAATATAAAAATTATAAAATAATTTTAATAATTTTTTTATTTTTAATATGGTCTAGATTCAATTTAAAAAATTTAATTTAATATTAAAATTTTTATAATTGATATATATTGACTATTCAGATGTACTCTGCATAAGTTAGATTAACACCAAATAAAATTTGAATTGTGCAGAGTACAACTGGATAGTTAATATATAATGATTATAAACATTTTAATCTTAAATTAGACCCTTTAAATTAAATTTAGATCACATTAATATAATTTTTATAAATTTTTCTTTTAATAAATATAAAAATAAAAAATATAATAATTTTTTAAATTTATGTTATTCAGATTAAAATTTAGATGGTCCAAATAATTTGAATGGCCTAAATTTTATCATAGTGACGAGCATGATAAGCACCCAAACCTGATCCATTCATAGACCGACCACTTCTTGAAAATGAACGCAACCAATGAAACCTTCTTAATAAAACAAGCATCATAGTGCGTATGATGGGAATTTTTTTTTTTGGTAGGTCTATGAGGATTTTTTTCTTTCTTTAAAAGTGATTGTTTGTGGCATTAGACTTTATGTATGTTCTATTGTTCATCAATAAAAAAGTAACAAATATTAATTATATTAAAAATTAAAATTTATATACACACTCCAAGGTGAGCAAAATTAAATTGAAATTAAAGAGCGGCTCAAATCAAATTGAATTTGATCTATTGATTGAGTCTATTCAGTTATACAGTTTGATTCTATTTTCTTTTAATAAAAATTTTGATTGATCAATTTAATTCAATCTGAGAATTATTGAACTAAATAAATCGAATTGATTAAATTATATGTATATTGATGTTTTTGAAAAGGTGAATAAATTCTCATCTACTTGAGTAAGAAACATCTTTCCATCATTTGCAATAATAATATTTTTTTTATTTTAATGTGTTGTTCTCTTTTTTACTTTTACAATTTAATTTTTAATGTAATAGTATTGAGTTTTATTTTCTTTCCATGAGTTGTGTTATAAGATTATTATTTTTTGTTGGGCCTCTAACATCAAAGGAAAAAATGGATGGAAAAATATATGAATAATTAAATTTTATAGACTCAAATTAAAGCCTATAAATTGAATAGGCAGATCTAATCGAACTATTATAATTCGGTTTGATCAAGTATTTTGATTAAATTTAATCCAAATTTTTTAGAAAATTCAACCGATTAGTTCTGAAGAAATTGAAACCGAGGTGATGGAATGCTCATCCCTGAAAGTCCAGGGTCAAGAGTTAAAACTTCGCCATACATTTTCACTTTTCATTAATTCAGCCTGCTTTTATGCTTACAAGGAGACAGCGTGTCACTAACTAAAACCACAAGACACAAGATTAACAACTTTAGCCAGGATTATAGCAGACAATTAAGATTGTTGGGGCCAAATCCGAAAATCCCCCACGATCTCATCCAATCACAAATACTAATCGAAGGGTAGTAAAATGATGAATAAATAATCATACAATAAACTGAGTTATTTGATCCATGTAAAATAATTAAAAAAAGAATCTCAGTAAAATCTGCTGATACATTGACCCGAGGCAGGGCAGGGACCTACCAAGATCATAACCTGCACACCGCAAAGCATATTCTCCTCTATATATTTACAACTTATAAGAATGAACATGCGTGTCTGTGTGAAAACGTGAAAAAAAAAAAAGGAGAAAGAATCTACTTTGACAAAATTATACAAACGTTGAAATGTGAGATGGGGACTATGGAGTGGAAGGAAAGAATCTGGACAGTTTGAAAGTAGGGCGTGGCTCGAGAGTGAGAGGGAGGGTCCGTGATTGAAGATGATGTTGATGTGATGGTTGAAGGAAAGGGAATATTATAATTAATAGCGGCCTACCATTGCCTGCCTCTCGTATAATTTTTTTTTTTTGAATTAAAGGCTACGAATAAATCATGCTAATTAATAACGTCAGTCATATTAACATATAAAAAATTACAACAATAAGACAGCCGGCTAATAAAAACACAACATATAAATTTTCATTATCTCAAGTTAAATGTTTACGAGGAAAAATATATTATTAATATATACTTTATTCAATTTTATTTATAAATTATTTTTATTAATTTTATTAATATTAATATAATAAAAATATAAAAAATAAAAATAAGTAAAATTTTAAATATAACTCTCATGTAAAAAGTAAAAACTAAGTTAACCATATAATATTATTTTTTATCTTTATTTTTTTTACTTTTTAAGGATAATTTTAAAATTTTAATTTAAAATAAAATAATTTCATCAATAAATAATTTATAAAATAAATTAAATTATACTTTTAAAAAGTGATTAATATATTAAACTAAAGAAGTATATAGTATATATATTTAAAGCTAGACATGTAGATGAGTTTTATGAGTTGGCTCAAATACCATGTTATAAAGGTTGGGTTGTACTGTAAAAAATCAATTCAAATAAAAATATATCTTTTCAAGCACACACAAAGTAACTCTGGAATTAAATCGGTTAACTTTAATAGTTTAAGGTCCATCCATTTAACATCTATTATTTATAAATAATTGAAAATAAAACAAGTCAAAATGAATCATAATGAAATATATGAATCTCATGTACTTATAATATTAATTTTTTTAATTTTATGAAATATCATATTAAAACTTATAATTTAGATGTACAAATATTCACGCAAAAAGGGGGCTTGATGCTATTTAACTCACCAACATACGTGGACTGGGTTGGGTTATAATTTTCCAATCGTAACTTCTCATAGTAATAAGGGAGCAAGTGGCCCCACAAAAAATAAAATTTATTTTACTCAAGTTTATACGTATTATATATTTAGATAATTTTTAACAATATGAGTTGCTCCTATAAAAGGTGTGTGTGTGTGGGGGTTGCCTCCCCAACCTAAAATTTATGAGCTGTCACAATTCCAACCATATAAAATGAGTTGAACTGAACTAAACACATTTTCTCCTCAACCCATGTGAGCAAAACTCAATGCAAAGATTTTGGTTTACTCATAAATACAAGGTATCATTCTCCCTTATCTCTCTGTTAAAATTTTATTTTAGTCCAATAAGGTTAAAAAAAAGTTTTATTAAAACACTGCAATACCAATCATGTTATATGATAGTGAATATTGAACAACAAGAGTAGGGGTATTTAACTTATACCCATTTCAATTTGCCTAATTCTATTCTGGTCAAATTAAGATAGGACTTTACAGAATGAAATAATAAAAAAGTTTGGGAAGAAATGGGACATGAGGTCGTCCCAAATATTATATATATATATATGTATGTATGTATGATTTTTTTATTTTAAAAATATACTCCTTAGTTAAAAAATATAAGATATTTTTAATTGAATCTTACCCCGATAAAGTAGTTATTTACTTTTCAACGAACCCTATCTTTTTATATTTATCCCTATTAAACACCTTATAATAAATATAAAATCACTAATAGGGACACTTTAACAAAAAAAAGATAATATTCCACCTCAAAAGACTAAAGATGCCTTATATTTTTAAACATCCAACATCTCAAAAAATACTTTATATTTTTAAACGAAGGGAGTACATTAAATATATTAATTATATTAATACAGTTTATACTTATATTACTTATAATTTCAATACTTGCCATTTTTATTTAAAACTAAAAGTTTTTTATATTAATAATTTTGATGATATAGAGTAAGCAATATATGTTAATATCTTTATTTACAATATATTAATTATATTAATGTAATTTATTCTCATATTTACCTATTTAATTACTTTTTTTATACCATATTTCTTGCTTTACTTTAGAAAAAGTTACTAGCTTAACATATTTCAATTAAAGAAAAAAAAATGATAATAAAATTTCTCTGAAATATATCAATGATAATTTGATCTATTAAAATGCTATAATTTTCTTGAAATCCCTAGAGAATTTTCTATTATTAATGAATTTATATAAATTATCAAATTACTCTTGTTAAAAACAAATGATTCTCAACTTTTTTTTTCTTATATTTATAACTTTTATTTTTATATTTACAACAATGCAATAGCAAATAAAGAATTTAATATGTGAAGTTGTGATTTGTTGTTACATTGTTGTGAATTTAAGAAAAAAAATTGCAAATATAAGAAGAAAAATTATGAATTATTTATTTTAAACAAGAGTAATTTAGTAATTTATATAAATTTATTAATGACAAAAAGGTCTTTAGGGACTTGAGGAGAATTATGATATTTTGAATGATCAAATTATCATTTATATGTTTCAAAGAAATTTTATTGTCATTTTTCCTAAAGAAAAATAACAATGACTTGATGTTGTGTCTGCCTTGTTTGTTATTGCTCTTATAAGCTAGAGATCACCTATAATTGCTATTATAATTTGTTATCTCTCATGTGCACTTGAGTTAAGTTGTATATTTGTAGTTGTCATTAATGCAATTCAATAATTGGTGTGATTTATGTACTATTTAAGTTATGCGATTTAAAATTTTAATTAATGAACGTTATTATCTAAGTTTTTTCCCTACATTGTTCACTTTATTGGGACAATGGGATGTCCTGATTTCGTCTTGTCCCATCTTGATTTGTAATGAGATGGGACGGGATATAAAATAAAAATTTAATCTTGATAATTTTTCAGAATAGGGTATGGGGTAGGAGTGTTTCGGTCCTGTCTCGTGAACACCCATAAACATGAGTATAAAGTTGGAATAACAAAGATAAAAATATTGAGATAGATATGCAAGTGTATGTGAAAAGACAATTTGAAATAGACATATATACAAAAAAGTAAGCGTGACACTTATTGAAAAAAAATGATAAAAAATTATTTGAATATGTACAAGAAGAGAAGGTTGTAGGAGGCATTGATAAGAAAAGTAGAATATATAGTCTTGAGTTCTATAAAGCGAGGTAGAAAAAAAAAACTAAAAAGAACACTTGTGAAAATTATTTTTAGTTAATAATTCTAAACGTTTGGCTAATAATAGAATATAGTAACATCATACAATTCATATTAATGATAGAATATAATAGGATAAGGCTTGTTGTTTGATATCCTACTTATTGGAGAATTTTAATCTTTATGCATTAAATTAAAGTAATTAAATATAGGATATTTAAAAAATGTTACGAATTTTCTGTATTAATTATAAATAATCAATTTGCTTATTTTTCTGGATTCTACAAAATACATCAATGGAATAGTAACTGTTGATTTATGCTTCCGACAGAGGTTTTTGGTCTTTAAAAAAATATATTCTTTTCACTTTAAATTATAAAATACTTTTAAGTGAGATTTGACCTCTCAACATATAAGATAATATTAAAATTTGATTAGATAAATTTATTTCAATATTATATTTTCTTTCTCTATTTAATTCTTGTCTCTCTTTTTAATATATTAATTTTTTTGCCAACATTTTAATATATTAAATTAAAAGTATTTTTAAAAATTTATATTTTTATTTTAAAAAATAAAATTGTTAAACGCATATAATAAGAATTATTAGTATGTAAAATTTTATTAATATCTTATTATTTAGAAGGGAGCACAAACACATTACACACCTCTTGTTTTTGGGGCCAAAAAAGGGAGTATAAACACCTCTTCCGTAAGATTTTACAACCATTTTAGAGGAAGGGATGCTAAAATTGTCCTCGCACGCTCCTTCATCAGTATCACCGACCTTATTCAACAAAGTGGGGCCCAATAGATAGAGTTTCTTCATATACATTCACAGGTGGGACCCACTCTTACAATAAATTCACACATCCCATCCCACCCACCATTATTGGTCTGGATTAATAGTCACAAGGGCATTAGTGGCATTTCATTTAAATTATTTTTTAAAGTTAAAATTCTGCAAGTCCCAACACGTGAGCATTCCCAAACAGGAATGAAGAGGAATGATAACATCAGCGCAGGGCTTTTTTAGGCTTTCAATGCAATGCGCATAAAGTAAGTTCAGAGGAGGATAAAACATGACCAGGACCAACACTCGAATAACACAGGGGACTATAAAATTACCAGCTATATATATATATATATATATATATATATGTACATATTATATATAACATGCAATGTCTTGTAAAGATGTGCAGAACAGCTAGACAGACCCTGTGCCACTACATGGCCTAATATCATCAAAAACTTTTGAGGGTGTGTCAATGATAAATCTAATGATATTTAAAAACAAGCATGATACTAAAACCAAAAGCTTCTGAAGGAAAAAAAAAAAAAGGGTGGTTCCCAATGCAACGGTCCACGCGCTTCCCTATTCAAAACTGACAAAATACAAATGGACAAGGAGCCCCACAGCACACTCAGCCATGCAGAGCACAGCACGGCATTGGCCATGTCCCTTCCCTCCAAACTTCACAAGAGAGAAATAATGGCTTCCAGTTCATTGTACCAGAGACGCAGAGATTCTTCGGTCATGCACAGGCCATGTCCTTACCTCACAACTATACTCCACAAAAGAAAACAATGGCTTCCAGTTCAATGTACGAGAGATTCTTCTGAAAAATCAATCTGCAGAAGATAAATAAAACCAAACTAATCAAAAAACAGCACAGACATGTCCCAAGTATTGCCTAAACACATTTCCAAGTAATTTTATGATCCACTTTATCTCTAAGATTTTACCCGAGGATTTTCCCGCCGGTATTATTGTAGGGTCAGTGCCTGAACCGGGGCTACCTTTGTTTGGTGGAAGTGTACTTTTCTTTTACTACCTTGCTTTGGGACTGTGAGAGGTAAACTTGGCACTGTATAATAGTTTTGCCAATCCTGAACCCTGGAACTACAGCGAAAGCAACTTGTGTATGGTCTGAAGAATCATCATCATTCACGCATTCCATGTACACTTCAGAGAATCTACATCCCTTTTTCACTTGAAAGATTGAAGCTTGGGGCTCAAATGAGAAGGCCAAGCAATGCAGGAGCCATACCCTCTTAGCCATCTCAGCAAATGATGTGAAGAAGCTTGTATACGGAAATTCTCCAGCATTTAGAAGGTCTCTCTGGCGCAGGTTACCAAAAAATGAATACTCCATTTTTGGATGAACAAGTCTTAGGTACTTGATTCTGCAAAATTTGGCAAATGGTGATCTTGGCTTCTCAGAAAGAAATTCCTTTGCTTTCATGAGCTTCAGCTCATTGAATCCCTCGAAGAACAGCTTCTGTTGATTATTCCTATCCGGAGGATTTTCATTAGGAATGGAGAAGCTAGGAAAGTGGAAAGAATCAAACATTTCCCTGCAAACAAAGGACTCAATGGCAAAACACTTGTGATCTTCTTTCCAGAAAACAATGTTTGGATGAATAGCATTCACGGAAGCATCAATATCCCACCCAACGGATCTCATCTCATCCACAATCAACCTTACGAAGCTTCGAATTGACCTAACTGTGTGACGAATAACAGTGACAAAATGGCTAGAACTTAATCCAGATACATGCAGATTTTCAAGCATGGATAATGAGCCACTTTGATTCAATCTCTTCTCGATCAACCTGTTATGCTTAGTAGCTTCCTCTAGCTTTTCCTTCAGAAATATAATCTCAGATTCCTTTAGCCTTACCTGAGATTCTAACTTCTTCCCCATAATCTCAAAGGTTTTGTTAACACTTTGCAGCTCCTTCAATTCAGCTGCGAGAATTGCTGTGTCAGGTGAAGGATCTGACTGTTTCTTTAAGTAACACTGCTTTAGCTCAGACAAGTTCTTCAGCTCAGAGACTACTAATTTATCAGCAGCTTCAATCCCATCCGGGTCATAAGGAGATTGAGCAAATTGAAGCTGCGCATATGAAGCTTTCACAAAAGAAATGCTAGCAAATACTTTTGCGAGCAAAGCTTCAGCGGCTAGTCTTTCTTGAAGCTCTTCAGCTTCCATGTCACGACACAAGCTGTTGCCTTCATCCTTGAGATTTGCTTCAGTTTTAACTTTCTTCTGTCCTTCAGTTTGTGCAATTCCAGTTAGTGCTCTAAGGTGAAGAACCTTAGCAAACGTGCGAGCCAATTTACTCTTTCTTGGTGCAACTGATGATGGCTTAACTGACTCCATCTGCAAAAAAGTATTACAGATTATGCAAATGAAGATGAGAGTGATGAAATGTATTTAAAGTTTTAAAAAGATTCAGAAGAACGATAAAGTTTAAAGACGATGGCTATCGTGATGAGCATGTTGAAAGAAAGGGGGGAAAAGGAATATGCTTTAACTCTTAGATCGAGGCGATCAATTGGGATGTAATTTTTCTTTTTGTTCTTCATCTGTAAAAGTTTCTAATAACTTTCAAAATTGTCAGAAAGTTGGTTCCAGCAAGGGACTTGAGAAGACATGGATGTAAATAAATCAAGAATGTGAACATGATCAAAAGATTCAATTAAAGTTCAAAGGTAAATGTTTATTCGCCTAGCAATAAGGATGTCAGTCCAAGATGGCAATTGGCAACATGGACCATAAGTAAAGGCCAAGTCTTGCAAAACCAAGCGAGAGCAGAAAAGAAGAATCAGTAACTGAATCAACTTAACAACGGTAGCAAGATTTACTTTTACATAATTATTGATACTTCTGTGCAGATTTGACATGTTAAGCAGGCCTAACTTAGTTTTCTAACCTTTTGCTTCAATGCGCTTAAGAGCAGTAGGCCCGTCTATTGAATAATCAGATCTTCCTTGTAACGTAACCGGTCAAATAAACTAGTTCTTCAGATTCTTTGGGATAAATTATTGCCAAAGTAGTAATAATAACAAAACACATTCTTAAACTATAGCTAACAAAAACCCATCAATTATATAAAGGCAAAGTCTTGCATACTGGATCTGCAGCTTGAAAGGAACACAAGTAGGCAAACGTAAACCACAACTTGTCTTCTGAAATTCTGACGATACGTGAAGTGAATTTTTTTTTTTTATTCACAAAAATATTATCGTCTTGGCTTTTATGTCTTAGGATTCCCTGGGATCTGCTTATTCAAAATCTAAAAGACATGGACTTGATGTAAATTAGTACTTGGTATCTCCGGTGCACAGAAGGATTCATCAAAGTCGATATTTGACATGGTACTTTTTACTTTACATCATGACAGTGAAGAAAGTTAACCATCCCCACCAGGCATCACCACATGGTAAAAGATCTATTATTCCCTTTCTCTCCTGCTCACCAACAATGGCTTGATAAGATGGGAGTGTGCAGAGACAATGATCTTATTACGCATGGCGATGTTCTCCATGACTAATTCCAACACTTCATATAGCAATTATGCAGAATCAGAACCCTATCATGTTTCTCATGGCTACTGTCATTTAAACATCGAACAAGACAGATATTCACATGATTGTGTATCAAAAGTCAAAATAAACAAGATGAGATTCCTGGGTGCTTTCAAAATCTACAACACCCGAGACTATCTAGCCCCATGGGATGTAAATAATAGAGACTGCAAAAGGAAGTCTAATGGAAGAAGTTAACCCAACGACGATAGCACTGCAATAAGCAGCATAAAACTCTGAGAAATTTAGCCCTTATCACTTCAACAAAGACAATTGATTACAAAAATCAAGACAATTCATTATACCTTCTGAATTATTCCACGAAATAGGGCGTAAAAGAAACCGTCAACTTCTCTTCATTATGAAACGTAAAACTCAAGAAAACAGAGTAACAACACTTAACTACATGTCCCCGATAACTGCGACCTTGAAATAGCCTGCAACCAAACGCTGATAAAAGGGTAGAATCAAGAACATGGACAAAAGAACACAAAGGAATAGACTTTTCTCCAAACACAAAAACAACACAACACCGTAAAAGGCAAATACAATGAGTATTGATATTGAGTTACTACCACCACAACTCACAGATACCCAGATGAAAAACTCAAAAAAGAGAGTACAGTTTTAAAAAGGAAAAACCAAAACGTGTTCATATTTAGCCCAGTGAATAAAACGAAAACGCGTCTAAAGCATACAGATGTCTCCTTTAGAAGATATCAAAAACAAAACACCGACTTTAAACTTTAAGCGATAACAAAAGCCAGAAGCTTCTGATTCTGTTTCCTACTAGCAGCACCACACACCATGCAAAACTTCATAAAACAGAACAAGATGATGCGACAATAAGGAAGACTTTAAACGAGAATCAAAAGTCAGAAGAAATGAAGAATGAATGGGGATGGAGTTTCATACGAAGTTTCCCAAAGCCAGCCTCAAGTCAAATGTAAAAATCGTATCCCAATCTCTTTAATGTCTCGATACAGACTTAAATGATCTGCTCCTTTTCCGTTTCCCTCTGAGCTTCAAAAAACATGCCGCCCTCTGAAGAAGAGACTGAGGGGGAGAAATAAGACAACCTTTCACCCTTTCACCGAGCCAGGAATAAGACAGCTGTAAGACAGAAAATTCATATAGAGGGAGGGAAACAGGGGAGGGGAAAGAAAAAAATAAAATAAAAACGAAAACAGAGAATTTGAGAGAGAGATTGGAAACGAGGAAAAAGAAGACGGAATTGAGAAAATGTCCGACCACACTTGCGACTGACTAGGCATGGGGAATTTAAAAATAAGAGACCACAAGAGCCGAATTGGAATTTCGATAATTCATCGATCGTACTTGTCTGCCCCTGTTCTCCTATCCGTTGCGTTAAAGGTATCGCGGAGATTTCGAGGTCGGATAGGGGTAGTAATGGAATTACAGTTGCGGTGTAAAATTATCAGATTCTTACGCAGGTCAGAGGTGGACCTGTGAAATGAACGGCCAGGATCCAGACATAGGAATGTTTTTGTTTTGCAAGTATTATTAATTTTTCTGGGTAGAATCACTATGATTATTTTTTATCAATAAAGATTCGTAAACTACGGTTCTGTTCTGATCAGTTGACGTGGACCATTTCCTGGTTTCCATCTGCACAGGCTCGCTTAATCTTTAATTACAGCAGTATTAGTGTCAACTATTAGATCGATTACGAGTAATACCTAATAGAGTTTTTTTTTTCCATACATTTTATTACAAAAAAAATATTTTCCTTATGATGTATAAATTTTGCAATTCACCTTAAATTTTGTAGAAAACATACTCCGCAATTTATTTAATGAAAGAAAATTTGTATCAATTAAAAATTAATTATTGTTAAAATTTGAATAAAAAAGTCTGAATGAATTATCATTAATTTAGAATAAGTTATTGTTAAGACTTAAATAAATATTTGTTGACGTGAGACTAATTTAAATTAATAAGTATTTATTTAAATTTTAACAATAAATAATCCTTAACTTATTTAAATTTTTTCCACACAGCTCTTCATTAATATTTTTCCTTATTTAATTCATGGCAACATTCATGAGTCAGCGATGCTGTAACTCGTCTCGAATTCTATAGTTTATTTATACAGATTATAGAATCTATTATTCATCAATATTATTTCCCGATCTTCAATAATAAGTTATAGTTTTAAGGTTAATTGTGTCTCTAGTTATGACTTGTTACAAAGTTCTGGTAATTAAAATATTTTTTTTGCAAAGTATCTCGTACATAATATTAAAATCACCTATCTTGCTTAATGAACATGTACTTAATTTCTATTAAAAAAGATAGTATCGCCAATGGCGACATTTAATTGATGGCGGAGCTGGTAAAAAAATAATTTGATATTACATATTAACTAGATTTCAGGGTTTACTTAATATTCGTTTAAAAAAATTGTGACTTGTAATTACCAAAGGAAGAAGTATTTTATCTAATAAAAAATTTAGAAAGGCGCAATATTTTACAAATAGTAAATAGTACTCTCTTCATTTTAAATTATAATACACTTTGAGAACAAATCTTATGTACCAATAAATCTCATTAAATATATTTAATAATTTTATATTTTCAAAATAAAAAAGATAGACTTTTAAAAATATTTATAATTTAATATATTGAGAAGAGAACAAACAAAAATTAATTAGAAAGAGAGAAATATTGAAATAAGTTTATTTAATGAAATTTAAATCTTTTTAAAGTATTTTATATTTTAGAAAGTCAAATTTCTTTTAAAAGTTTCTTACAATTGGAGGAGGGACTACTACAATTTATTTTGAATTTAGTGTAAATGTTCATACAGTTATATTCTAGCTTTTTAATATTTTGAACGTTTTCTATTATATTGGTGTTTCCTGAAAATGATTTAATCATTTAATTCATTTTTTCCATGTTTAACTTATCGTTTGTAATTGATTGTAAATTTCATACCCGAACGTGAGGATTGTTTATGTAGTAACCGGGGACAAGCATGCAATGCATAGCATACAATCACAGCACACGTTTTTTACATTAATGGATACCTTTTTTAAGTTTCATTGATATTGCCCTTCCTTTTTTTTAACAACCTCGTATTTTCTATGAAGAAAAAAAAAAGAAAATAAAGCGACTAAATAGATTGTTTTAATATTTTCTATTGAAAATAGCAAGTTGATAATCTAGCTGTAGGCTTGCTTGCCCACTGAAAACTCTTACCTAATATGTAATTTATTAATAACAGTGTCAACTTAATTCTCAGAATTGTAAAAGTAATATTTGATTAGGCCCTTATTAATTATTACCCAGAAAACAGTCCTTCATTTGATTATATGTCATTTAATTGAAAAAGACTGAACATAGTTGTCCTTAATATTTAATTAAGAAATATTGGAATTAGTTTAAAAGTCTTAATCGTAGAACACGATAATCTTCCCTTTTGGCAGAATTGAATGGTCATGAGAACGCATGCACTAAAACATCATTAATTGGGCCACATCAGATATTAACCTGAAATCCTAAACTTGAATTTTCTATTATTCCAGCTTTGTGTCCTGTGCGTGGCAATTTTTTTTAAATATTTCCTTTCTGGCCTGAGTACTTGTTTTCGGATTTGAGTAAGAAATAAATTACTAAAAAAGTTGACATCTTAGTTAGGCAAAAATTATTTTTCACATAACCGAGGGACCAAATATTTTCATGTATTTTTTCCCTGACAAGTCAATTAATATGTACATATTGGTGTTATTTCGTTGTCTATACCGGGCCTGATTTTGAACTCATGAGATTTATGTCTACTAATTAAAATGGAACTCAGAAGTCTTTTTAAAAAAGAATTGAATGATCCTCAAAATTCGAAGGAAATGATTAAGATTATGATAACAATTGGCTAAATAAATAACCCACTTTGTTTTATGCGTGATCAAGTCTTTAATGTTGCGGCGTACGACTTACGAGTTACGCCCTGATTGGCATTCGAAAACGACATTGGATGTACTGCGTTTTAAGCGAGGCAAGATTAACAAATTGAACTGATGCAAGCATTAGCATGAATAAATAACCACGGATTTATTTGGTTGATCTTAATTTGGGCTAAAAATTAAATAATTATTGCCACCACTCGCCATGGTTCGGCAAAGGAAAACTCCAGATTTACTGTCCTTATTTGGCCAACAATTCCAAATTCTTTTAATTAGGCTAATCCTACAATCATGTGAACGAGCTATTAACACTTGCTAGTCTGAAGAACAGAGAGTTCGCAATTCTTTTAGGGGTAAGATGCTTATTTTTTACTAGGAATAAAGGTAAATAAAAATAAAGAAAAAGAGAGACATGAGGATAATTAAAATTTTAAAAAATTATGTTTTGTTTGAATTTTTTTTAAAAAAGAGAGGAACACAAGGATAGGATTTATTATTCCAGGAGTTTCATATAAATGACTTTCATTTTTTTCTCTGAATATTCCATCTTATATTATATCAAGGCATTTAAATTTAATATTGGATAAAATATACTTTTAATCTCTTGACTTTTTATAAAATTTTATTTTAGTCATTTAATTTTATGAAATATCATTTTATTTCTTTAGCCCTAATATTATTAATTTCAATACAGAAATTACAAAGATTTTTCTTTGTTTTTTTTTTTGGCAAACAAATGCGTAAAACAATTCTATATTCGACTAACATAATCATATTTTATGCAATTTAAGATTGATGAATTTTGCTAAAAAAATAATTATAATGTTTTATGGCTCCCTAAAAAGAGACTATATATTATATATACAATATAAGAGTCACATTTTATGAAACCAAAACTTTTGATAAAAATATGTACACACCAATTTAATGTTTAGAGAAAAAAATGAATGAATTTTTATTTAATTCCGTGCATCATGCAGACATTTTTTAGTGATGTATATATATATATATATATATCTATAGGATATATGTCACTGACCTTATCTAATTTACTCCAAATTAGCTGAAATTAAATAAGAACTAAAAAACTCAGTTACAATTCAAGGGCGAGAACAATCGCACGTATATTCAATGAATGTATGCCATCTGTCATTCCTTCTCCCCACATAATATAACAACATTTATTGTTACTTCCCTGTTTGTCTCTCGAATCTCGATTGTGAGAACACAATGTGAGTATATAAATGTGTATTATTAATTAATAATTTCACTTCTGTTCTTCAATGCATGCAAGGTCAATTCTTGTTTATTAATATGAAAATTACATTACTGCTGTCTTTAATTTCCATAACTCATCGCATCGAATCCATTATTTTTAATAATTCCGTTCTTGTATTTTACCCCAAATAATATAGGAATTCAAATAATTCAAACGGGTAGATGTAGATGCACATGTGGAGCGTTTCATAAACTCTTTCTATATTATTGCCTCATATAATTAATTATCAAAATTTGCAAATTAAAGGTTTCCCCCTCCATGAAAATTATTGAACTTCGATCAATTTACTAAAAAAGACAACAAGATCATTTCTGAAAACGTTTCCAGTCGGCATTCATTAACTTGGCAAAAGAATGCACACGCAGTCAATTAGACATGTTGAAAGTATAAAACTAAAAAGAGTAAATTACTCTCAATTTTTTGGTATATTGCTGAGACAACACGAAATTTCAAACCTAGATTTTTCACATGGAAAAAATAATATTCATTTTAAAAAGGTAAATATATTATGAGATACGTAGGCTCATGTGAAGTTCAATTAAAAGGTGGCGGATGTATAATAAATTAAGAAAATAAAATAGCTTGAGGGACGAAAATTATTCACTTTACATCGCACTCCTGACTCCCCTACGCCAATTTTCTTTTTCTTTTTGGTCCATATTATTTTAATTTTAATTTTACTTTAGCCATATACTAACAAATAACTTTGGACAAATATAGTAGATAATTTATAAGTCTGTTTGTTTGGATTCGATTCTTTTTTCCTTTTGCGTGGACATTAATTGGCACGCGTCGAAATTAATTTGTAGAAAGCGACCCTGACGAGCGTTATGGCTTGGGGAGTAGGTGAGAGGTGATTGTGTTTTGAAGGAATGGAGACAAATGCATGTTTCGTGCACTCACCACATGTGCGTAAAATAAAATCATTTAACAATGATCTTAATTGAAGATCCAATTCAAACCTTAAAATCCCACTAAAATTGAAAATAAAAGAGTTTTATAATTCAAACAGTAAAATAAAGTTCGTTTTATCGTCTCAAATTTTCAAGGCACATTCCAATGG